CAGAAAGTATCACAATAACATATCACTTGGTGAGACCTTACTCCACCTTCAGAAGGTACATATTAAAGAAGTCTTCAAACACCTCTTTTAAATTTTTTTGCATAAATGAATGCTTTTTTTTGTTTTTGGCTTACATATTTTGGAATACAGCACACTCACTATAAAGCTCTGTTGTAAGGCTACCCCCTAAAGTAAGGCTGTTCTACCTTGGCTTGCATTTTCACTTCATTTTGCTTCTTTTCCGCATGTCCCCAAAACAAAACAAAAAAACCCACACAGCGCCTTATATAGAAAGGGTAAGCCAGATCTGGCAGGGATGGGAAAGAAAGCACATAATATCATAACCATGTCACTAAAATAGCTATCCTAACAAGCTGTGCAACCTCAACAGAAATTGATGAAGAAAATGATCACTTATGGTTGGTTGTGTTTCATCTGAAACAGGAGGAGCTTCCACCTTGTCTCAATTAATAAAAACAAACATAAAAAAATGAGGAAATTAGTTCTGCAAAGGTAACAACATACACTAACAGCCAAGAAGAGGCATTCAGTGCTCAAGGAAACATTGCTTGCCGAACACGGCCTCCTTGTATTGCGCACTCTGCTCTCTTCCCCTCTGCCCACCACAGTCAAGAATGTTTGCTGCTAAAATACTTCAATACTTAACGCTGGCTGGCACAATGCATTCTTCCCTTTTTTTGTTCTTCTTCCCTGGAGTGCTCTGTACTACTTTACAGAAAGGCTGCCAGAATCAAGTCAAAAACTCCCTTTCTCACTACAAAATTTACAGGAACCCTAACACTGCTGAATGTCACCAGTCCCAACTATCACACAAACAGGGCAAAAAAGGCTCTTTTGCAGAGGGCACTTGATTTGCTAGAAGCTTGCTAGGACTCTGGGAGACTTCTAGGGAAAAGCTTTCCTGCATAGCTCAATGAAAAGCAATGTGCAGGCAAACAGTCAATGCAGATGTTGCCTGCTGCACGCTACAGATGAAACTGCATCTCTTGTGGCCTGACAAGTTTTAAGAGTAGGCTCCAACCCACCAGGAGCTTTTTGTAGCACAGATGAAACCTTAAATCACTTTTCACACAAGGATCAGAAGCTACAGTTACTACATCACAAAGTTTAAGGTCACGTAACACCACAAAATAGAGCGCTATAATTTTAAACAGGACCCTGACTCAATTTTGACAGCAATGTAGACAGACCCTTAAAGTCTACTGTAGGCAAAGCTCTGCTTGATGAGTCACTACAAAATGGACCTGTTTCCTATTATCTACTGCAAGGGAACTTTGGTAAAATTCAGCAACACTGGTATTTACAGTGATGGGACACTTATGCAGAACATTGTGAAGGACATGGACTAGGCACGGCTGCTAAAAATCTCCAGTTTGGCTCCTGTCATTCAGTCCAACCAACAGGTCTACTACAGCCTAATGGTTGCTTTGTGGTTTAGGTTTGGATGTGAATTGAGGACAACAGGGAGTACCAACTCTGTCTACACTGGGAAACTTCACATATTTCTCCCCATTACTGTTACCATCCTTCTGCCACAGGTGGAAGTCTAGTACTGGAGATAAAGGGGAAGAAAGAGTTTGGGTTTTAGATCTCTGTATTTTGATCACAGTGGGAATGACCACATCATCTAACAGTATCAGTTCCTAAAACTGCAAAGCAGTGGCAAATAAACAACAGAACTGAAATGATATTGTGTGCAAAATCAATTTAGACAAACTAACAGATTCTGTGTATGTTGCTTCAGATTCAGGACCAAAGTTGCACATCAACAGCATTTGTTTATTGTGTTTTGGTTTTTAAAATTAATTTCAACGTAGTTGTCTTGGTATTACTTTCCTGCCCACAAAGCATGCATGCATATTTACAATTAAGAAAGCTGCTTCTGTTAAGGGAACTTTACATCTTTAGGAAAAAAAACAACCCTACTTTCTACTCGATCAGGACTATTATCCTGAGATGTTAACCAGCCTCCACAAAACCTGCATTTCAATCCATTTGAGAACCTAGATGCTAAGGTCACATGATTTACAGTGAAGGCATTATATGCAACACACACTGGAAACACAACAGGTCCTCATATGCTATGTTAACCCCGATCCAGCTCATTTCATTGACCAGGCTTTTCAAATCTGGGTACCTCAGATACAAACAGTGCTCCTCTTTAAAGTCAATAGAAAAACAATATGCACAAACAAAATAAGAAACTTAAGAGCTACATCTTAATAATGAAGCAAAAAACCCAACCTAACCAAAATTTCCCCCCAAAAAACTACAGTACTATTTGGATGCACTATTAGGACACAGTGGAAGATGTGGCAGCATTTTTAAGGAGAAAAAAATGGGACAAAGGTTCTAAGGAATAAATGCTTAGAAACTTCATGGTAAAAATAGAAAAAGAGGCCAACTTAATAAAAATTTTTAATGGTTATTTAATCATTGAGGTGGTAATCCCATCCAGCTTTTTGAAAACAACCTGTCTATATTGCAAAGGTAAAAACGTACTTGGCTTAACATTCTTACTCATTACAAAAGCCACTTAATGTGAAGCACAAAAAAAACATATATAAGAAAAACCTGACAACCTGTGATTGTAAAAAAACCCCAAACCAATAAAAACCCCACTCTCAAGACTGCCAGGCAAGTGTCCAGGTAGAAACTTAAAAACACTGGGAAAAGATGGTAAGTATTCCAAAGCAAATGTCAGAAGTCTAAACACAGGTTTCTGAGCTGTATGACACTTTGTTTTGCTTGCTAGACTCTGCTGTCACTGCTAAGACAAAATCCTCAAATGGAGCAAAGAATTATCACACAAATTAAAAGCCCTCAGCTTTATAGACACTGCAAGATAGGGTAAGCAAAGTGGCTGGATTTTTATCTGGAAAGAGATGCCTTTAGTCTATTCCAAGCTGTGCTCTCCCCAGCCTCTTCTCCCTACCTTGCCAACATGTTTAAACAAGATGCTGCCAACTCCCTCCTGGGAACAGTTTTGTAGAAGCCCAGAAATACCCTAACATCAATTCCTGCTGACTTTTTGCTGTTAGGAGCTCAAATGGTAACAGAAATATTACAGCATTAAGCAATGGGTGTCCCCAGCAGCTGAGTCTGATTAGCACAACTCTCAGACAGCACATGTAATGGTTGGGAGTGCCGTGACTAAGCCACACAGATCTGTCAACCTTAGCTGGAATATAGACTAATGTTACTTTGATAATGTAGGGAAACTGTCACTGAGGAGACAGTCACTAACACCTACAGGATGCACATTCAGAAAACGAGGAGCAGACTGTTGTACTACAATACGTTTGGACCCAGCAGACCGATGAAACTTATGACTGTCAACCCTTCAGCAGTCAGTCACAATCCACTTTCAAGTGAATGTCAAGTCCGTCAGCTTTTTTGACTAAATGCTATGGTTTCCTCTCTTTTAGGACACTGCTAATTTGATAAAACACAGCTTCTGGCAAAGCACTCATTTTCTCATTAAAAAAACCCAATAAAATAGAATAGAATAGAATCCTAAACTTTCTAAGTAAACCCTCCTTCTACTGGCCCACGACAGGATTTTTGAAGCACGTTATTATTACTACTGATTATTTTCAATAGACTCACATGCACACGCAGCACAACATGAAAACACTGGGCAGCTGCTATGAGAAAGACAGAATTTGGCATCTGATTTCTTTTATTAATAACAACAACAACTTATCTCAATTACTATTAAGTAACTCATTGCACGACTTGCTCACGCGGCATGCTCTTCTTCCCTTAAGAATGGGCACATCTATTTCCATGGAGTGGCTACACTGCCTCACTCTGCCTCGTCTTCCCTCCCCTCCCCTACTGTAGGGCATGTGGGTGCATGTAACAAGGCACTAGCGCGGTTTTTGTGGTTTGAGCCGAGCCGTTTCAGGCGGAGTAAGCCCCTGACCCCTAGAGCTGGGAGGCAGAAGTTGGCCATCCCAACACTGAACTCTTAAGTTCAAGACTGTAAGCCCTGACAGCCAGCAGCAACAGGGTGAACAGAGGAGTTTAACAGCTATTTCCCTCATATAAAATGAAACAGAAAGACTGGGAGGTGTGGTGGATGAAGAAAAGCAAGCAGCAAATCTCCAAGTGGGGAATTCAACTGACCAAGTAGCTGAAAACAGGGAAGTTGATTTCCAATGTACATTTTTGTGGAGTTTTTCCATATTTTTTTTTCTGTACTGAAAAAGGCAGGTTAATAGAACTACTTCATTACTGAGTATTCTGTCAGCACTGGTTTTCTTTAGCACTGCTCAGAAGTGGTTCAAAGAAGCACCATCGTGTATTTCCTGCTAATTGTCCTAACCGAGGATTCTTTCAGTTAAACTCTACTGCATTTTAATAAGGTTTATACTTTCACTCTGCTTCAAAAAGGTGCTTGGAAGAATATTTTAATTTCAATCGAGAGGGAATAGTAGGTTTCCATTCACACACTTCTCTTCTCCATGCAACTGCACACGTCTGCATGAGTAACAAAGCACAATAAATGATAACCCTTCTCCCACAAATTGTTTAAGATTGCAATGAATTCCTGTTGCTGATATTGAGAAGCTTTCTTAATGTATCTTAATTTAGAAAGTCTTTAAAATTCTTGATCCCTTGCTTGACAGTAACATTTGGAGATTTTTTCTTTTTTTCTTTTTCTTTTTATTTTTTTTTTTTAGCATTTTTATTTTAAAGTAAAAACTTTCAAACATTTTGAAGATTCAGGAACTTGTAAAAGTTTATCAACAAGAAACAGCCATCTATCTAGGATAAGGTTAAATAAACCATCTTCAAAAAACTGGCTTCCTACCCTAGAATTCCTGAGAATGCTTGCAAATTTAAAGCAGGAAAATAAAATGTTAAAATAAAAACAAAAACACTGTTAAATGCTCCCAGAGTTAGTCTTCATCTAAAATATATATATGCACTTTTTGGTCTTTTTTTTTTTTTTTTTTTTTTTTTTTTTTACATTTTAATTTTTTCCCTTTAAGCTTACAATGGAAGAACAATTTAGCTTTTCTTTTTAAATATTTCAAATCCCTCATTATGTCTTGTAAACAAGAGGGGCTCTAGCACCCGGCTTTCACCGTAGTATCGCAATGAAGTCAACTAGCCCAAAGTGCAGGAAAAGGGACCATAGGGCAGGTTGGGAGAGAGAAGTGAGGGTGGAACACAGCAATGAACCAGCATGTATAGCAAATCATGTGACAGAACAGACACTGGCTTGCTCAGGCCAAAGGTGCTTCGCTAGGAAGTACTGCTGGCACAGGACTTTTAAGAACCTGCTCTGCGTGTCCGAGCGTGCTTGGTCTTTGAGCAGAAACAAAGCTGTACAGATGCCTGAATGTGAGGGTTACTAGCCAGCTAGCAGGAGCTGAAAGAGAGCATTTTGTTTCTTTGTGCATGGTGGGATAGATGGAGGAGACACGACAGGAAAGTAGTTTCCAAAGGGGCCAGAGTATGCTGCATACTCCAGTTTGCTAAACAAATACAAACCTACTCATACTTTTTTACCAAATAACGTTTTGCATACAAATCTACAGGCATGTGTATATGCAGCATTTCCCTCAGTCAGTCTTCCTTGTGACATTGGGGCTTACACAGAAAGGGCAAATTAAATTAAACAGCCATGTAATTCCCTAGCCCTTCCCTCCCACCCCCAGCACACAGGCATACACACACGCACACACACACACGCGTGCACCAACCTCCCCCCATGACTTGCATCTGTTTTTGCTTCTGCCCACCAAACCCATGAGTTAAATGCATTAGACATGGTCATATCCTTCAATGAAAAGGCTGAAGAAACAGACTCCCCTATCTGCCCCCCTCCGCCAGGTGATAAAGCACTGCTCCCTCGGAGGGCTGGAATGGACAGGTATGTGCTGGTACAGAAGGTCGGCACTTTGTTAGACAGTGTAACAGCTGGACAATGCTGCATGGAAGTCCTAGCACTTATGGAAAAAGTACCGGCATCTCTCTTCCCTCTTGCCCCGACCGCACCCCCACAAAAAGCTTCCTGCTTTGTGTCAAGGGATGTTCCTTCAAGTCTGCTACAACTCTTTTCACAACAACAGGTCTTAAAAGTTTTGTTCCCAGCGCACACATGCACGCACACACTGGCTATCACTGTGGATTATAGGTCACCCCTATCCTGCCCAGAGTATTACTACACTGACGCTAAAAAACCCCAAACCTTTCCTTAAATACAGAAATTAAAAAGCAACAGTACAGAAAAAAGTAAAAACAAAAAAACAAAAAGGTGCAATACTTCTTTAAAAAAAAAAGTCTTTGCTAGTTATATACCTCCCTAAGCAAAACCACATACACAGGAAAAAACACAACACAGAGAAACAAAAGGAAACCTTTGAAGTACACACTGGTTTAAGAACATTCGTAAGTAAACGTTTCTGTCAGTGATGGTCTGGCGCTGTAATGACACCAAGGCCTGGCACAGGTAACGCTCACCATGAAGGACGCAGGAAGGAGTTAGCTGCATGTGCTTTCAGGAGATGAGGCAGGCTGGCCGGCACTTTGCTGACACCATTTAGTTTTTTGTCAGTTTTAATAGAAGCAGTAAATCAACTAAAAGGCTATTTTGGTTGGGCTGGATTTTCAAGCCTTTGATGGATTCCTCTAGAATGAGTACAGGTGCTTATTTTGGTTTGGGGGAGAAAAGAAACACTTTTTCTTAAAGGTACTGAAGCTTGCAAGAGACTGAAAAAGAACATTTGTCTATCTGCACAAAAAATGGCAATGTCTTCTTTCCTCCTCTCTTCCCCTTGTTGGAAGAAATAAATGGCTTGCATTATAACAAACACTCAAGGGTTCATTCAGTACAAAAAATCCACATGCAGACACAAATAAAGATATTGTTACTCAAAAGACAACATTGTTTCCCCTCTCACCAAATCCTTTGGATATGGCAGTGTTCTGCTCTACCACAGGGTTAGAACAAGGGCTAGGAAGCAACTATCCACTCTGTATGATCTGCAGATTTGAGATAGCACCCTGCTAAAACGAATTTAAAAAACCTACTGGCAAATTTTAATCCAGCCCAACTGGATTCCGCTTCAGCCACAGGGACTCCACCATGCCTGTCTTGCTTTCAGAATCAAGACATGCAGATGGCCGGCCAGCCCGTAGACCATCAGCAATGCAGCGTTTCAAGATTATATATATAGAGAAAAAAATGCACACACACAAACATGTGCACACGCACTCACACAGAAACAAGCACACGTGGGCAGTTACATGTGCCAGAACACACTGGTACTTATCAACCAGCCAATCACAAAGTGTTGGTTTTTTTGTTTTGTTTGTTTTTTCGGTTTTGTTTTTTTTTTTGTGGGTTTTTAATTTTTAATTTTTTTTCTAGGTTTTTTTTGTTTTTATTTTTGTTTTTAAAGTGAGGCTCCGTCAAGTCTTTCCCTCCCCCCCTTATTCTTTTGAACCCCTTCCCAACCCCAACCCAACATGGTAGACCTAAGGACGGAAACACACCCAGTGCAAACAAAGTTAAAAAGCTATTTTTTCAGTATATATGTTTCTTAGCAACAACTTCCGTATAACATGAAAAAGTGAAAAACTAGAAACTAATTTTTTTAATTTTTTCTGCTTAAATTTAAATGGTATGTGTACTTGCTTCACATTGTCTTTCTAAGTTGGCGTTCACGATTCAAGTATTTCAAGAGTGATATGTTCTCTTTTTGGATTCATATTCCAAACGAAAAAACTGAAGTTATATAAGGGAGGCAACTATGTGCTCAGACAGTCTGTCAATGACCCACCTTTTTTTCTTTCTCCGTTTTCTTTTTTCCTTTTATAAATGTATTTATTGCAAGTTGAAAAAAACGAAAAAGGTCAAGTTAGTGCTGCTGCTGTTCCAAAAAAGGTCACGAGGTCAGAGTTGAAAGTTCTAAGTTCAGATTGAATCCGACCCTCCTCCCAGAAGGTCTCCAGGTAGTAAGGGAGCAGGGCTGCCCATTCGGTGTGGATCCTCTACGCTTGGGACCCCCCACAAGCTTGAAGAATAGTTTGGGGGCCCCCACAATGAAGCGCCAGTGAGATCACCCCCACTGCTGCCGCCGCCACCACTGCTCCACTGCCCAAGCCCTGTTGACCCACCAAAGAGATTCAAAGCAGGTCCAACTGGATCTGTCTGGTTCTGTCCTGTCTCCAGGGATTGCCAGCCCGCTGCAGGTGCACTCGGGGTTGCTGCAGGTGTAGGGGGCTGAGCTTGTGCCAAAAAGCGACTAACCTCTTCATCTGTGGCAAACTCAGCCAGGATGGTAGTGTTTCCCAACACACACCTAAAGGGCAAGGTACACATAAGGAAAAAAAATTAGTTAGAGCCAAAAGGTAAGGGCAAGGGATTCAGAAAGCACAGGAACAACACTAATAGGTGCCCAAACCAAAGGCGGTATCGGCTATGTTGCTACAATGGACTGGACATGGAAAACTTCAGCTGTTTTTGACAGTGAAACTCACTCAAAACAAAAAACTTCAATTTTATACAGGGAAAAACCAAAACAAAAACACCCCAACCCCCTTGCCCCAACATTAAGTTGTGCCTGAACAAAATCTTAACAAATTTAAACTATGGTTCTGAACATTAACACCAAGAGCAATAAAAGTGCCTATACCACGTAGGTAAATGCACCTATGCCACCTTTCAAACAAAAGAGATGAAGAACAGGTTAAAAGCCTTTAGAATTCAGAAGACCAGTAAAATTAAAAAAATTTCACTGAGTTGAGGGGCTTACACCACCAATCCCACATCCTTAAAGATTTTTGTCTCAAAAGCTTGCTTACATGTGCAGTGCAGTCTGGGCCTTGGCCGCCTCCTGTTTGGTGTTATATCGGATGAGGGCGGTGCCCTGGGTCAGGTTCAGATGGAATGTCAGCAGTGGGCCATGCTGCATGCAGATCGTCCTCAAGGTTGACCCATCAATCTGAGCAAGAACAGCCAGGATGAAACAGATATTTGTAATTATTTCTCTAACATACTTTAATCCTGACTTCGTCACAATAATTGAAAAATACGCTGCTCTCAGAAAGAAAAAGAGATTAAAGCAGTGGGAAGAAAACAAAGGTGACAGAAGCTGATTTTCAAACAGGAACTGGTATGCCTTGACTTCTCACAGTTACACGGAGTTTGCTTTAGTATGGAATAATCTAAATTATCTTTCCTGTTCGTTTACAGCTTGAGTCCAGTCTTCCCTCTTTCACTGAGTTTCTTACACTGTCACTATCCTTACGCTGACAGCTTTTCCAGTAATGAAACACAACTTGTACATCTCACCATCTTCAGTCATCAGAATTTCTACCAAAGGAACCAGAATGTCTTAGTCTCCAGCTCTCTGATTTCAGCAGAATGTATATAAACTACTTTTTAAAACGTTTTTGCAAAACCGGAAATATCTCTACAATGAAATTTTAAAAAATCTATTTTAGTGCTTCTTTGTCTTTGTGGTTTATGAAACAGTGACAGAAAGAGTCAGTGATTTTGCTGCCAAACCCACCAATGTTCATTCCATCTGAACTAATGTTTTCACAGCAGTTGTTGCCTACATTCCTTCTCCAGCAGTAACAGCTTGTTACTTACCTCCAGTAACAGCTGTTCTCCCAGGTGTTCTGTACAGACAGATTCCATTCCTGGTGTGCCACAGAGACGTGGACATACGAATGGGATCCGTATGTGCAAATACCTAAGGAAGTGCTACTTTCTTCCTTCTTTCCTCCCTATTTTATAGCACAGCTTCAAATGAGGGAAAAGGAAGTTGTGTGGTAGTACAAATATGGTCAAGGTCAAAACAGAGAACCTTGAAATGAACATATTGTTCTTTCCAAGCCTATGAGTCTATGAATCCATCTGAACCTTCACACTTCTCTCGCTAGTGTACTGATCCACAATAAAGAAAGAATCCATAAGGAGACAGTTATGATCTTTCCTACTAACTTAAACGCCTCCAAAATATATTATTCTTCCACTTATTAATTCCTAAAGCAGCACTGAAGTATTTTACACAAGTCAGACTTAGAGCTGTGCTTTTTGCTCATACCACTTCTTCCTTCACATCAAGGTAAACAGTGTTTTTTACACAAGGAGCACAGCTCATCATTTTGGGTGATCTGCTGGAGACCTCAGCTTTTCCTTTCACATCAAACCTTTTTTGCAGACTGTAGAAGCAAGGTAAATTATCTGGCTGAACAGGGGACTCTCTGTCTAGACCTCAGGGTACTGCTGATAATCATATAAGCTGTTCCTAGGCCTTGAATACTAATTGGGAATGCTGAAACCAGGATCTCCACAGAATTCATTCTGAATGGCAGCAAGCTTTGAGAATACTTGCAGAAATAACCTAACTAGACTGGTTTTGGCAGGAGCGCTGGAAAAATTCTGTGGTTTCACTATGGAAACACTAAAGTGAAAACTGGCAGTTACATCAATTTTCTTATTGACAACATCCCAAAGAACAGCTATAAACCATTTCACATTATAATCATGAACTTTACCCTCACTTCTAAGAAAAATATTTCTGTTCAATTCTTTTTTGTAACTCTTAAGTAAAGAAAGGGGTTAACAGTCACATAGCAAAACCTGAACATCTAAAAATTAGCTGAAGAGAGTACAATAGAAAAAACAGTCAGATTGCAGCTCAGTTTAGTAGAAATATGTTATGTATGCTCACAAATCTGATTTGATCAGATTTTATTCAAAAAGAAACAACTGAATAATTCACAAATCCCTGCTAAAGCAAACAAATCCCCAGAAACAACCACAGAAAATACCTGTGGAGTGAGATTGTGAAGAACCAGCCAGTAGCTAGGACGAACTGAGCCACCATCACTCCAAGTAGATGCTGCAAATTATAAGACAGAGCAATCAAGACAGATCTCATACAAAGAAAAACCATCTTTCTTTACAGTTAGGTATTTCAGAAAAATTCAGCATTACCAGCCCTGTTAAAGCATGAAAGACTAATCTTCAGTCCTGAAAACAAAGCCACACCTTTGCTCACAGTTCACATCAAGATTAATTTTACTAGAGTTTATCTTTGTGGAGTTTCTCACACAAAGAAAGCATCTAGTCTTGAAAGGCCCTATGTAGCAGGTATTCTCTTCTGGCAGCTCTCAGCCCTTTTTCACTCATGCCCTGCAGCAGGACCTGGGATTCCACCCTGCACCGCCCCAATTACTGACAGCAAATTTCCATTTCAAGAAGAAACTCTCTTTTTTCCTATTACCAGACAGCTAAACTTTCTTTCCACCACTGGCGCTGTAAAACATACACTGCTCAGGTCTGATCAGTGGTGCTACCAGATGATTTGTTCTCACCAGAGCCAAGCCTTGAGTCCTGTGCCCCCCAGCCCCTGACCGATCGGGGTGCTGTGCTGTTCCATGGAGATGATGGTTTGGGGTTGGTCAGGCCAGGAGGTGGGCGGGGCAGCCCTGTAGTGTTCCTTGAGGAAATATGGTTTTTCCACATCTTGTTGGAGAGATGAGTGGGATTGTGTCCTATGGGATCTGGGGACCACGTTGATTTGTAATCACTGAATTTTGCTAGAAGATTAAAGAAATTGTATGTATTAGAGAAACTTGTGAGATTAAATACCTGTCCTATCACACCACGTCTTTTGACTGCATTTATACTGGAGACAAGTGCAAAACACAGGAACATACAATAGTTACTTTATCATACCAAAAAACCCCCATGCTACATGCAAGTTAATATTTGATTATTTTATATATGCTGATTAAAAAAAAAGTAATATACCAGGATAATTTATGATAATGTAGCTGTCTGCAGTATGTTACATCATTAATTAGATGAACTGCAACTTTTATGTCCACACTACATTTAATCTGAGAATTTCTTAAAAGCTTTGCCACTACTGACCTTTAATGAAACAACCTTCTTCATAAAAAAAAACCCTGCAGAGCACTGAAAGCAGCATTCACCATTCTTGGTCTACTAAGCTAATGTTACCTCCTAGAGATGTCCTCCCTACAAGATCAAAGCTCTCTTGAGAGTCACAAACCTCACACAATATTGACACAGCAGAACCACATAAAGAAGGCTGCTTAGCTGTGTGATGGCTGGATTTCTAAACAATCTTGATAGCACATTTTTTTTACTAGAGAGTACTACTAATAGGCAGGTGCCTATTAGAAGACCTATAGTGGATATCCTTAACACATTTCAAGAACTCTTTATAAAGAAATGCAATAAAAGAGAAAAATAGAAGTGCTCTCCAAAACACCACTATTGGTCATGAATATTTGTGAGCTCTGCCTAAAGCAGTTTTTTAAAAAAGGCAGATTGCAAATTCTCCCACAACTTCTGACACCAAGGGACATTTCAAAAGTAAAAATTCCTTGAAAATTCCTCATTGTTCTGCACTGAGAACCAGCCAACACAGACATGGCCATGTGGGGGAAAAGGCTGTGTCAGACATTATCTTAATCACAGCTCACGTACGTGTGCGCAAATGTGTGCATTTAACTTCAGTCACCAGCAGACGGTGGTGAATGTAATTTGAAATAAGGTGAAAAACCACAGATTTATGATATGCCAGGGCACCATAAAATAACACATCTGGAAACCAAGACCATAAAGCTTTCAGCATGTATAAGCATGCTTCAATTTACAGCTAGATCTCTGTATTCTTCATGACACAGAAACGGTCAGTAGCAAGCAGATTTCAAGCACTAACCTTTCAAAGTGCTTAAAAACCTGCTTTCACTACACTCTGCTTTACAGAGAGGTGAATTCTAAATTCTCAGTTCAGATGACTGGCTTTCTGACTGTTAAAAGACTCGTGTCTAGCAGACAAAGAAATTGGTATGTGGCAGTGGTCTCATTTCCTCAATTTGAGTATGACTTCATTATTTTTATCCCTTCAGTCTTTCTTATGTGCTAGACAAAAACTAAGCAAAGGCACGAATTTGCTACATGCCACTCCTTTCCTCAGAGGAACCTTCTATGTCTCTAGAACGCTGCACACACTGCTTCACACCAAAGTCAGCTCACAAATGGGTGGCAGGAACTCAGTTTTTCATAAGGACTAAAGAGCACTTTCAACACATTTGGTGAAGATGCTGAGGTAACGCCTGAACACAGCTTTCATTCAGTATGATGAAAAAACCTGAAGTTCCAGCCAGATGTAGCTCCCAGCTCTGTTCTCCGTTATTTATATACAATTCTTCAATTTTACGACATTTTAAAGACAATGATGTCTTCAAGAAAAAATTCTGACATTTGCAAGAAGCTTAAAATCCAAATGGTACATCTGGAGCAAGTATTTCCAGCACTGTACTGCAAAGTGTCTGCAGAACCAGATTTTTAATCAGAAAGTTGTGGAGACCTTCTTATGAAGGATCTGAGACAGATATTTAAGTTTATATACACAGGCCAACCATGAAAAGCAAGAGGAGCAAATGTTTTCACTGTCCAGATTTCAGGGAATGATGAGCGCTATAAAAGGCAAGGCAAAAACATTCCCTTGACAGCACTCCCATGTCCTAAAGCTAAACTAAGTCAAATCATTTACCTTTACTAATACATCCATAAGCAGGTAATATTTTAAAAAATATGACATGTCAACAGATTGTGCATGTACTGTTTTTATCTTTCCTTTTGCATCTGCTTCTTCCTACTATTCTATTCTTTAACTTGAATAATACGCTGATTTTGGCTGGGGTAGAGTCCATTTTCTTCATAGTACCTGGTATGGGGCCATGTTTTGGATTTGGGCTGGGAATGATGCCTTAGGTTTTAGCTTTTATATTTTTCAGACTCTGTACTGCTTTAGTGTGTAGTTCTGAGCTTCATATTAACGGCTGGTAAGCTTTCTTCGTAGAGTAGCTAGACAAAACAATTCCTTTCCTAGCTTGGGACCAAGAAAAACCAACCCAAATTTCAGGCCCAAGAGCATAAACAACGTGGACTGAAGAGAGAAAAACAAGAAGGATGGGACTTCATAACCTAAAGCTATAACTGGACAATTAACTCTAATATGCTAATGGACCAGAACTTACAAAAGTGAGAGACCTTGTGACCAGTCATCCATTTTTGTGACCATTTTGGGTTCATCTTGGGTGTAGCCCTGGCTGGGCTCTGGTACTGCCCAAGGCGTATCCACTAAGGCCTTTTAATAAATACCTACTTTATTCTTTAACTCCACCTAGCCTCTGTTTTAGGTCAGCCTTCACAAGGTATCACAAACAGCATGGATAAATATGGATGATTTAGTTATATTGCTGAGCAGTGCTTACACAGCATCAAGGCTTGTTCTGTTTCTCACATCCTCCCACCAGCAGGAAGGATGAGGGTGCACAAGAAGTTAAGGAAACACAGCCAGGACAGCTGACTCCAACTGTGCAAAGGGATATTCCATACCATATGGAATCATGCTCAGCATATAAAGGGTGGGGGGAAGAGGAAGGAGGGGGTTATATTCAGAGTTGTGGTGTTCATCTTCCCACGTCACTGTTGCACATGATGGACTAAATACCCCAAGTGGAACAACAATGAACTAGTGCTAAATGAAAAATGCTTTGTCTGGCTAAGTTTCAAAGCCTGCATACCTGAAGTGCTATGAACGTTGGTGAAGGAATTGTCAGAGGCACTGTAGGGCCAGGCACCAGGTGAAGGCAGCGAGGTGTTGAGGGAAGAATTAGACCCTATCAAAGAGAAAAGGAGAGAGAAAGAGGAGACCAAGTTCACAGAGTTTCTGTAACACCATTAAACCTCAAGAGAGCCGCAACTTTACCAATGCCAAGCTTTCAGGTGCTCCCAGCCACATTGCAAAGGCACGCAGCTTCCTTCTCAGACAAATGCAACAGACTGTTTGCCTGTGATGACTGCAGCACTGCAACAATCCCCAGTATCAGAGACTTTGATAATCACAGACCAGATGTGCACTGCTTTACCTGTGGTGTTGTCCCGCAGAAGTTGGTGGTCAGTATCTACAATGGGAGATGTGGCTGTCCCCCCCAGCACACTTCCAGGGGTCACATAGGGGTCAGATTCAGGGTCAATGTTTTGTATACCTTTCCATGGCACTCCTGGTTGGAACTCTGGGACAGGAGAGAAAAAGGAATTAGATAAAATCAGGGAAATGTTATTTACTAGAAGTAATTGCTGAAGATATTTCAGGATGGTAAGCAACTGTCTTCTACACCGTTCCTTAGGGGCAAAAAAAAGACTGTATGTTAGAATCGTAATCTATTTCACAGTTCCTCCCACAGCACTAGCTCTGATTTCATATGGGCACAAGTCAACACTACAAAAAAAGTGGTACAAGGGCATCCAGTATCCCTTTAAACGCTTCTGCTTTGCTACATTCAGATGATGTTTCCTTAGTTTTAATGAATTCCATGATCAACGCGCAAGGTAAGATCCCGTACACATACTTCGTGTGTGTGTGCAGAAGCCTTTTTCCTGGAAAGGCTACCTACCTTAGGAGTTTGGAAACACATTTGACACATCACACTCTATGTACACACACACTTTATACATTACCTATCAATACTGAGATGAGAGGCCTTGTGGTAAAAGTAATGTATGTACTCATTGTCATTCTTCATGCTTCACAATGAGATGGGATATACATCATGCTTTAGTTTGAACTACAGCTCCAGGCATGCCAGAATTTTAAGACAAGAGGATGAATTGTATTAAATATGAACACACAAAGACTCCAATTACTTTAAGATAGATCAGTGACTTGGTTCCTTCAACGAATAAAGTGCTGTGGTCAGTTCTGGAAGCAGGGGTGCAAAAGTAAAACTGACAAACACAAAAACAAGTAAAGCAGCTTCATATACTATGTGACAATTTGTCTTAAGTGTGAGAAGAGTGCAAAGGTGGCACATTCATCCCTTGCAGATACAAGTCCAGGATACAGCATTCCCAACCCGAAATAATTAATAACAGAATATTTGAGTGTAATTAAAGATCCATTATTAAAAGCAGGATGCAAGATGCACTCTCTAGAATTAAGCAACATAGGATGAATCTGGCAAGGAAGGGTTCATTTCAGTCACCTTTGTAATGAAGAATTATAGTCTTAGAATTATAGCTATAGTCAAGACTATGACTTTCACAGACAAATATAGAAGAAAATATTATACTACTGGTTGAAATTATTGCCACAGCAAGGGCAGTATTACACTGTGATAATGCATGGGAGAATCTGAGAGAAGACAAAAGAAATGCCCCACTGAGTCAGAACTAAGGTCCATCTAGTCCAGATCTAGTCCAGTGTTTTGCCAACAGCAGTAGGAGAAATACCATTAAGGGACAGAACACAAACCTGGCCACTATCTGTGGACTACTGGCCTCACACTCTCCCAGTACCCACAGCTGTCCTAACTCAGGTGGCAGAAATACCCTCTCTATCTGCTGGCATCAGCTTGTGAAACTGTTTTTCATCATTTTATCCAATCACTGCTTCAACTTCCTAGTATCATCTGTCTCAAGAAGCTGTGAAAGCAACACAACCTGAAAGTTCACCACTCCTGATAGGAAAAAAGCTCCCATCTACTTAAAATTTCTATCCTCCTAATTCCAGAATTTGCACCATGGTTCTAGCATTGTAGGAGTCACGGAATTACAATTCTGCATTTATCTCGTTCACTGCCTTCATGATTTTATAAACATCAGTTACATCTTCCCATCTTTAGTAACTCAACAAAATAATCCAGGTATCAACACTTTATCAGCAATCAGTACTGCATCATGGAAGGACTCTGCTCAGCTACTACTAAAATACTGCCATTCCCTGACAAGCAGGATCTCCCTTTTGTAAAGGAAGAAGCAATACAGCTCTTGGGTCTACTGAAAATACCTTCACTGTTCTGAGACAAAGAATCCATGAACACAAGTTAGAACCTGGATATTTCAACTTGTTTGGAGAAAAAAAAAAAGCATGTCCAAATCTTCTGTTTACAAAGATTCTGAGAATTTGAGACAGAAAATTAAGTGCACAGAAAGCTCTAATCAGCTCTAATCAAAAGGTTAATACCCAAACAAACAAGGCTCCAAGGATCAGGGGTATTCTTGTTTATGAACACATTCACTGATCAATATAACTCTGGTCTGGAAAAGCATTTCCTTAAACTACAGCACACTGACAAATTTCCAAACTCTCCTTTGGGGCTGACAGTCATTATCGTGCACATTCACCAACTCTTGTCTACAAACATGCTCTTGGATTTCTAGGCAGTAAAGACGACATGAAATGCATTTCTCTGCTGATATTTGAAAGGTCCTCTCAAAAAGTTCAAATGTAAGATTATTGTGAAAACCACGACAGACACATCCAGGCCAGTTTGCTGGAAGTATGACTGATCTTGAACGGGAAAATTACAGTCTAAGTATGACCTAAGTATGCAAGTCTGTGCAGCATAACCAAACGACATAACTCTCACCAATGCAGCAAAACTTGCTCTCACCTCCAGCTGTGGTATCAGTTTGATTGGGCACCACTTCATTTATCTTTGTGCTGAACAATACTGCTCTCTTGAACAGCAGCATTTCTGCAGCAGATGGCATTTAGGAGGAAAATGTGAAAGGTGCAGTCAGGGTTAATGCTGAGTGACCACTGTTTTCATTCAAAGGAAAAATGCACCTGTTTCAAGAGGTTTTCTCTTGTAAACTCATTTTTGTTAATAACTTTTTCTCCAGCACTGGAAGAAGAATTCTATCACCCATGCTAGTAACTGACAGTGGACCTCACCTACAAGCTTGCAGAGAACAACCTAGATGTAAAGCCATTTTAGGTCTTCATTCTTCATCAGGGGTGTTGCATTAATAATACTTGATTTCAGTTTTCCTTGTCAATGAAGTCCACAAGTTAGACTATGAGACAGCTCAAGTGGCTGATGGTCATGGAACAGTAACTTGCCCCAGCAGCCTATGGATGTTGTATGAGTGGAACAGCAATAATTGAATAAATGCCACCTGCATGAAGGCTGAAAACATAGTCTTGGGCTACTCACACAAGAAATGAGGGATGGTACTGAGGATCTCAGTAAAATTTTATGTTCAGAATTTGTGAACTTCACTTATCCTTTTACAGAGGTGAGGCAGTCATCAACAAAAAAATTTACTTTTCACTGACAACGGGACTACAGATATCACTAGGGAAGCTCTACGATATCAACAAGGGGCAAAGAAAAGCTATCAAGCTTTTAACTTCTGTAACAGTTTTGGCACCAAGCACCTTGCCAAAGCCAGTGGCTGCTCCAAAACTTGGAAACATGGCAGAGGTGATCCTCATGTGTCTCTTGTCACGCTCCGAGCAGTACTGTCTTGCTCAGTATAATACAGGGGAATGGTGACTGAGGGAACAAGCTTAGCAACAATGAGTCTGTGAGTGAAGTATGGTAAAAGATTACATTTTGGGAGTTTCTGAAATTATGAACAGCAACTCCAGTCCAAAAAGCTTCATACTTAACAACCAGGCTGACAGAAGTGTAACACAAACATACCTGTACAGAATGCAGTGAGCAGTATGAATACTTATGGATGTGCAGAGGTTTTTGAGATAATTAATTCTTTAGCTCTGTTAGCTCATCAGAAGATGTTTTCTTGCTGGAGTTAGACACTGAGGGCTTCCCTCAAAAATCTTCAAATACATTTCCTGCAGTTGTATCTGTCACATAGATTCCTAGGCTTTCTGATGTGAGGTCTGTGCTACTGCTTTACCCAAGAGATGTACCTGACTTTTACTTTTTTTGTGCTTGAAGGGATACACAGGAGAGGGTTTGCAGTTAGTAATGTTCTCCTGGAATGCAACTGTCTTCCAGACAAGAGAAAAGTCACAGCACCCACTACCTGCTATCAGCATCAGTGATTAATCTGTGCAACTTCAAGGACAGCACTCTGTTTAAATGAATGTCTTATATAGAAAATTATGTGTGTATTCAAATACATATGTACTTTGCCTAGAGAGTTTTCTAGCCGCAACATAATATTCTGCCAGTGAAACTACAAAACTTGAAAAATGTGCACCAGCCTGCCATCCCAAAAACAAGATACTCCTACCCAAGCCACAAGATTCCTGAGCATAACTGAAGTGTTGCAACCCTTTATGCGACAAGAACAAAGGTGAACCACAACAGTGTGGCTGCTGTTCCCACCATCACAAAAAAGCCCTACTTCACATCTTCTTCTGATTCCACCCTATCAATAATTTTTACACTGAGTCAGTGTAACACAGCACAAATAAGGAATCAGTACAAAAGAAGGGAGACGGTGGTGCGTATTCTACGAACACATGTTTTCATGAAATTTTCTGTAAATGCAAAGATAGATATGAGATATCACAGAAGATATGAGCTCACCTAACAAAAAACACACTACTCAGGTAATTCAGCAGTTAGCTCATATTTAGCTCAGCATTTTTACTGGAAATTCAACATCTATGTTCTACTTTAACGTGGAAGAAATTTCAAAACCAAGATAGGCCAAGCCACCCAAGTATTTTCGTTGCAATGGTTATTTAAGCAAGTATGGAGAGGAAAGGTCCAGCACATCTATCCTAAAGTGAGGACACAACCCCCTTATGTAATACCTGGAGGCCAGCTGGCATTGCTGGATTTACTTCCGATCTTGTTTGTTGGTGGAGATTTGGCAGGTAACCAACTATCACCAGCAGGGCCTGCATGGCTGCTGAGCGGGTCGCCCTGGATTATGTCAAACTGGTTGTAGGGCGATCCTCCACGAGCCTTTCCAGGGGGCACTATTGCACCTGCAGCATCAAAAACATACATTTACACTCAGGACAGGTTGGGATCTTCAGGAGTATGATGTATTAACGCAAAAATATTTAAGATGCATACTGGTGAGGCAAGACAGTTTATCCAAACTATTCCACCTCTGGGAAGATGATCCTACAAGGGCATTCCCAACATTCCCCTTCTCACCATTTTTGTGCATATTGGCATCTTGTGAAGCCACAGAGGGCAGCCCTTCCATCATAGTCCACTGTTTAAAGCGGGATTCTGTTCCAGCCTCTTTCCCTCCCACCATGCCATAATCCATGCCACTTGAGCCAAAGCCTGTGAAACAAACAAACAAAACAAAACTTAACTGTCATCTTCTGTTTTGTTTTTAAGCATCTTTAAATGGGGAGTCATTGTAATCATAAGAAAAAGGTGGGAAAAAGAAATCAACAACAGCAAAAGGTATACTCAAGGGGCACCTTCCAAATAAGTGTTTTGTCAGTATGCCATGACACGCTTTCTTCATAGGTTTGTCTTGTTCCCATGCAATGAAAAATAATGCAATTTGATTCAAAGTTGACACTTGTCATAACCTTTGCTCTAATGCTTATATATAAATTACTCATTTCTGAACCCAGACATAAGTGACTAACACAATTACCATATTAATAATAAGGAAGCTACAGGCCATGCACCAAACCTACTTCCACAGAGGACTTACCACCTGAACCGTATCCAGGTATCTGCCCTTTGGTCTGTAAATCTGAGAGACCCACATTCAAAGGATTGGGTACCATGCTGTCTAAATGTGGCTTAGGCCCAACAGGGTGGGATGGTGAATGCTTCATGCCAGGCTGCCTCTGCTGCTGCTGCTGCTGGAGGGCACTCACCATACGAGCAATCTGAAATGAAAGAAAAAACTGCTTCAACTATGCTATACTGCAATGCAAATTCCAGTAAACATAAAGAAACAGTGAATTGGAGGAGATACAAAAGACCCTGCTCTCCAAAAAGTGCAACATGAAGAGAGCAGATGACGTTACTGAAGCCAGCACCATCTCTACTGCAGACTGCATTTCCCCAAACTTCACAGTTCATATGATTGTCAAAAACAGTGCCACACACCTGTTGCTCCTGCTGTTGTCGCACAGCTTGAGATAACTTTCTCTGGCTCTGTAACAGCTGCTGCTGCTGCTGCTGCTGAAGGAGGAGCTGACAAGCCTACAAGATAAGGGGGGGTGGGAAGAGTGAAAATACAGAGCTCATCAAGTGGAATATAATTGCCAGGAGCTATTCACTAGCAAATGCTTCGCTCAGAACTTAGGTAAACTGTTTCTCATTCCACTCACTCAAAAAAAAATGACAATGAATGCATTACAAGAATACTACATCCTTCACTTAAATGTTAAATGTTTCTAATTTAACACTGTGCAACAGAATTACTTGTACCTGCTTTATTACCATCACTATGACTATAAGTCTGAAGAAAACTTCTTGAGAAATGAACAAACAACTGCTTTCTGTACAAAAATATGGCTTGGAGTCATTATTAACCCACTGTAATTCACAATAATTACATGGGCCTATCTGCTGCCTTCTAGCAGGACTCTACTACCCCATATAGCAAAGAGAGAATACTTGTACAAAATAATATCAGTAGAACAAAACAGAATTAGAATAAGCATAAAAAAAACTCAGCAGACAATTTGCAAACTGTCTTGTCTCACAAGGTTACTTACTAATTGAAACTGGGGAATCTGTGGAAGCTGGCTCAGCATGGCAATCTGTTGTGGAGAAAGCTGGGGGCCCATATTGAAAAGACCAGGATTCAAGCCACTGTTGGGAAACTGTTTGAGCATGGAGGCCGAAACCTGCATGGAAACCAGTTATATATCCTGAATGCACTGCTATGAGGAAAAGATGATGAAGTACAAGTATTTCTATACAGGAACAAGTATGACACCAATCTTCAATGGTGTTCTGGGAAAGACATTACAGATTTACTAACACATCACATTTAAACATGCACAATCTGTAACTTGGGCAGAGTGAATACCTCACTTGATTGACAGTACACAGTATTACATGTGCAGATGTAGACACACACACAAAGGTTATTCCCCCAACCAATCAGGTGCTAGAGACTGTACTAAATTAAAATGCTGATATATATACAGCTAACCAGTAATCACAGTACAGCATTATCACATTAAAAATGTACTGCTTGTCAAGGGAAAAAAAAGGCACTCAGGTAGTCACTGGAGCAAAGAGACAGTGCCTCACAGAAAGAGTTAATCTCTTTGTATACTGAATAAGATACAGTAAAAGACAGGAGTAGGTGGAGAAGAATCCCCCCCATTTCTCCCTGCATTACTGGAGAGTTACACAAGTACAATCTCAAGAACTGTTCACCAAGTCCAAAGCAAAAGGTAAACTTGTACAATTGGAGACCCTGAGGTCTTAAGATTAAGCTCTGCAATGTAAATGTAACATGTAGCCCCTTCATTAAACCTCTCTTTTGGAGGGGGGACAGGAAGCACAGGACAAGACTACTTAAAAAAATTAAGCAACCTGTCACACTTCAGAAACACTTTAAGCTTTCACGTTTATTTGTTCTTTTTAAAATACTTTGCAAAAGCCTCTATAAGACATAGGATTCCCAAATTCACTTTTGAGGTTTAAAAATACTGGTAGTGAGCATTTAGCATCAACTGCCTTGGAATAAGATAGAATGCTTTTGCACTGAGTTTTAAGTACTTTCACTATGAATTTTAATGCTTTTATCTTATTCAATTTTTCAATTTCTTAACATCAAATTGAGACCAAGACAGATGTAAAAGTAACCTCAATGATGTGCTCTGAAGGCTGTAGCTCTACTTTTACAAGTAATCAGTTGCTATAAATTCCTTACCTGGGGAGAAAGGAATTGGGGAGGCACTTGCGCCCGGATATTGGGGGAAGGATTTAGTGGCTGCACTGGTGTGTGCATGCCCCTCGATTGTGCTGTGCTGTTTCCAAACAAACCATGATTGCCACCCTATAAAATTAAAGCAGTAGTGAGAAGATGAATCTTGCAGGATAATGGATTTCTCTATGCTAATAGCTACATATCAGTAACAATGAGCTGAGTTACTGACTTAAACAGAGTTCCCTTAGAATTACAGACGTTTGGCTAAAAAAAGTAATATTCTACCTGGGTTAAAGCCACTGTACCACACATTTGAGAAGCAGGTTGTTTCTCTTCTAACACTGAAGGGTCATGCTTATCTACTTACTTCAAGACATGACAAATCTAATCTTCTAATATTTTTCACTTGACGTATTGGAAAACGGAAACTGAGTACAAACAACAAACTAAAAACTCCATTCCAACTGGCTTGAAAGTATGGCAAGACTGTGTCAACAAGAATTCTGGTTCCCCATTTTAGAGAAGACAGGTGCTTTTCCTGAGTAGGTTGCTGAGGTATCACTCACAAGGCTATTTTGTTTCCTCTGAAGGCCTTTCATTAACTAATGTTATTTTAGAATTCAAATTTCAAATATTTCCCTTCTGCTGTGAAAACTTCAACATTCTGGATTTGGATATTTTCCTTCCCCTTTTCTCCCACTAAATCTGAAGAAAATTTTCAAGTGAGAAAAAGAGTTGTGGGGTTTTTTTTTTCTCCCAGTGGTTTATTTTCTAACACAAGAATACTTGCTGTCTGAGTTTTTTAATGATAAGTGTTTACTGATTTATAAGCAACTTCTGTAATAAACCCTAAAGCACGAACAAGACCCAAGAAAATTTGTGATTATGTCTCCTGATTTCAGCCTCTTGAGCAGACCTTTTTTGGTACCATTTTTAAAAAAAAAGCAAGAAATGTTATCAACAGTCTCCTACACTAATTAAGCTACACTCTCTTGCTTCTAAAAGCTGAAGCTCATATTCCAAAGCATCTTTATGTGCCATGAATTTGTCTTGTCAGTTTCAAGACCCCCAGAATTTCCCATCTCCTGCTGTTTATCAGGGTGTCTGTGACACTCAATACCTGGGGCTCTGAAGAGTGTATTTTCCATTCTTCAGCCATCACTCCCTATTCTGCCTGTCCATGCTGCACCCAACATTATTCCCAACGGAGATTGTGCAGGCCTTCACAAAAACCTTTCCTTCCCTTATATATCAGGATTTCATAAATCCTATCATAACACTGTGCATAATACTCCTACCATTAATACTGTGCGTCCTCTGCTATCCTTTTGCTCAAACACAAATCTCTCCTCCTGCTTCTACACTGGCAGCACTATGGATTGCCTCATTCACCTGCATCCCTCTCCACCAAAAGTATCTTCTCCTTCAGAAGCAACTCCTAAGCATGCAGGAAGACAAACAAAAAGGCTCAAAAGACAAGGTTTTATTCTGGAAAGAGCCAGATGGAGTCAACTACACATTACAATTTTTGAGAGGCCTTGAAGCTGCAGTTGCACTTTCATCTCTCTCCAACTCCTCTCTATAACATCCTCTCTTTAACAAGAGTTCTGCATACCGAGATCAACAACATGCCTGCAAATTTTGGACTTAATCTGATGTTCAACACTGTGTCACATAGAAACAGAAAGACAACACAAAGAAACACCATCATGTTAGGCATATGACTACATAAGCTAGACCAGCTGCAATAATTAGGCACTGTTCTTTCATTTCCCAGTATTCTTAAAATATTTTCTTGTAGAATAATGCAGAACATAATAGCCAGAAATTCTTCCAAACTGCATTTAATCACTTAACTACTTCCTCACTATTTCCCTGTACATAGTAATATCGCTACTTCAAGAATTTTTAAAGACTACTAAATCAATCCTTACTTTGAACTGTGAGGAAGGGAGAAGGGGAACAGGCACAATGCTAACTCACTGCAACTTTTTACAGGCACATTTCTACATACAAGGTCTTTGAGTGGAGTCTGAAAAACTTCAGTGTTGGGTTTGATGAGGCAAACCAACAGGCTCTAACTGGGTTTTAAGCCAGCAATTAAAATAAAGGATACCACTAACTTCAAGACTTCTGAAAAGCACATCCACCTGCCGTTGCACTGCGATTTAGGAAGAGGCCAACAAAACCAGATCAAGTATGTTCTGATGCTAGGAACCAAAGTGGACTAATTCTCCATGACCTGCGACAGCTGAAATTTCCATTAACAATTGCAACCTATTCAGCAGAAAAACAAATGCAAGCAACCAACTAACCAGGATTAAGCCCAGGTTGCAGCCTTATAACAATGCATCTTATAAGGTGGCCTGCTTACTTGTCTAGCAGCGAAGTTTTGGGGACTGAGCCCTGAGCCGATTGCCCCAAGGCCGACGTTGGATAGTGTGGAACCAGAGGGAGACAGCTTGTAGCTGGGAGAAGGGGAGAAGGGAGAGCAGGGAGCCTCATCCCCAAGGCACCCATCTTGATTGGAGAAAGGCAAAGTCAGCTGAAGCAGCAGTTAGCCAACAGCAGGAGTTGGTTAGTGAAGCAACAGAACGCAAGAGGAGAGAAAGAGGGACGGTGAGTGACTAGGAAGAAGCAAAGTTACTTTGTAATAGCAGTTACAAGGACAAAACTCCTGATTCCAATTATTGCTTGACAATTAAGACTTTGGTCCAAGGAGATACTCTTAAGTTTTCTTTTTAAAAATACATTTTTATCTCTCATGAAATTAATTTCTGATAGTGGCTATTACCAATACAGAAGCAGACAAATTTTGAATGAATTCCTAATGTTAGCACACACCTACCAGCATAATTTGTTAGGAAACGCATTAGCTTTGTTCATGGTATTTATTAATTATGCCACCAGAGGGAGTTGACAAAATTGCTTTTTGGCTTGTTATACCAAAATGGAGGAGTTAAAAAATTCCTAGACAGTTAACACGCCTTCAGAATTTTTAAACCGAATTTGTTTTCCATTTTACATGTGATAAACTGTATCTAAAAAAAACCAAAACAGCCCTAGAGCATTCTGCATCTATTGGACATTCTCCAATTCATAATGTGAAGCAATTAATATTTGATAATAACAGTGAAAGCTTCTGTTTAAAATAGGCAAGAATATGAAAGAAACACTATTATAACATACAACAGATGTCACAGAGAAACAGATGTCGTACAGAAGCTTACAGTACACGGACATACAGCATAAGGGGTTGTGGAATTTAGAAAGGGTGTTTCCAATAAATGCCAGACATGAAAGAAGAAAAATATTCGGAAGACTGTGATTACTTATATTTACTTAGATCTCAACCAATTTCCTTTACAGTAAATGACTGTAGTTAGTAGCCAGAAGAATCATCATGATGAAACCTGTAATGAATTTTATTGCTACCAGTAGCTTACCCTTCCAAGAAAAAAGAAAGGAATTTGTCTACATCAAAACCAGTCTATTCTGGAATAAAAAGCCTCACTCTCTACAATTTTGTTTGTCTGTGCACACCTGACACCTGTTTTATACACACATTCATTCTACCAATAAAACTACCCCATGCCTTTTACTACTGAGCTCATTCAGGGTTATTCAATATCTAGCACTTGCGGAGAACTAGGGTAAAAACTGGGATCTTGAACAAAGAGGTTGATGTTAATTTATCCAAATATATTTCTCTCACCTTCTCAAAATAAGGCCCACTATCTGTGGTTCCCATGTCTTTGGAATTAGGTGGACGGAACCCAGATCGATCCTTTCTCATCATGTCATTAAAATCCCCGAGATTCACAGCTCGTTTATCTACCTCAAACTTCTTATCTGGGAGACCACCTGTAAAAAAAAAAAAAAAAATTAGTGCAAATAATCTCATGACAGCAGGTTCACAGCCAAATAAACACTCTTTAAGATCAGGGTAATAATTACATCTGTCTTATAATTTAGCACAGCTACAGTTGGTATTGTGTTGAAAAATAAATGTAGGAAGTTTCATTTAACACTGAACATGCCAATTCACTTTATAAAGTTTAATGTGAAGTATTTATTAAAATTTATGTCAAGATATAAACAAACATTTCAACTAATTATATTAATTAATATACCTAGTTCTCTATGTCTCCCAAAACCTGCACTGTAATTTTTTGGGATTCAGTATGTAGAAAGACTACTATTCAAGTTCTCCACGTATTCTGCTTAGCTTCTGCTGGGTTTGACATTGAGAAATTATTTGAGATCATTTGAAAAATTTGGTCACATGCACATTATTTGGTCAAGACTGTCTTACAGTCACATGAACTTAATTCTTAAACACAAGACATGAACAGGTATATTCTAACTTCAGACAGACAACCAATTTCCTTCAGCTGTAAACAACAACCCAACCAGTAACAGAGACACTTCTCAAACACCCTCCTGCCATTGTTTAGTCAGTAACTTGGTGAAGTACGAGATGTCAATAACAGATGACCAAACTGAAACATACATGGTGAAGAAGACATTGATTTTCTATAAAAGCTTTATCAACAGCCAGAGCGCTGACTGGAAGAAGTTTTCCACCTTACACACTGAACTGTTGCCAAGGAACAATCTTTTTGGTCAAATGTGGCACTTGTAAGCTATTAGAGCATATTGCTATGTTGAAGTAGATGGAAAAAAACCTTTGTTTTAAAATATGGATGTGACAGAAATGAGCTTTACTGGTATTTTTCAAGAATAGTGTTTAGTTAGTAGCACAGATGGTCTTTCCAAGAATCATTTTAAAAACATGTCAGCACAATTAACAAGAAACTCTGTGACTTTTCCAAAGGAAGTTGGTGATAACCTACCCTACCAATGACAAAACACTACTGAACCTTTACAGAGCAGACAGCTAATCACTTTAACATCTTCAAGACAGCGTTTTTTTGAAAAACAGCATCTCTTCTTAATGTCCAATCCCAATCTATTAATATTCACAGCGATGCCACTGCCAAGAAGCTGTGAAACTGACCACTAATAGAATGGGTTTTGCTTACCCACACAGCTTTCAAAGCTGATCCAGCTTCATCATCTCAGATGCCTTAAACATCATTTATCACAAGACAGTTGACAAATCACCTACATCTCTTAGCTCGTAACTGGAGTCACACTGACCCTGATGAGCTTGTGGTTCTCTGATCCCTTTCTAACATATCCTGAAAGCTACAACTGGCTCTGCAAAAGCACTCACAAGTGTCACAAACAGCTCAATGCTGTCAATACCTACATCAAACCACGGCACACTATGCCAGCAATGTGCTACTAAAAGGCTCATGTGCTTTAATTCCACACAGGAAGCCGTGGCCATTAGTTGCTTGAAAAGAAACTGAAAGCGAGGCACAGTTGCATCACAGTCTGAAATGAAACTGGGTCAATGCCAACACAAGATGACTAAGCCACAGAAACACCCTTCCTTCTCTCTGGTTATCCTGATGATCCAAAGCAGCTCCTCAAACATTACTGAATGATGCCTTGTAAAATACACAGGGCATAAGAAGAGCACCTCTGAAGGCTTGAAGCACAGATTTGCATGCCACTTAGTGCTGAGGCAGCTGCTTAAACTTCAGTATAAACAAGGCCTCACAGAGAAATTATTGCATTCCTTTATCTCATTCATAGAAAATTCTAATGCAACCTTGAAATGTGCTGTGTGAGTCTTGTCCTTTGAACTTGTCAACTAAAGGTATAAATAATGGAGGGGGCTAAAGAATAGCTTTATCTTATGTAGTACAAGACAACCGACAAAATGTGAGAAGTTTGAATTACCCTCTACAGTAGGCTAAAACACTTGTGTATGCATAAATATGAAGTCCCAAATTCTCTACATGCAGAAACACAGAAGGGGTTAAAAGTTACATCATCTTCATAAAAAAAAGACCCTATCAGTTCTTGGATTTTTCCCACTATTAAGAGTTGAAAAAAAAAACCTGAAAAATGCAAAATCAAACAAGGACTTGGAAGATGATGTTCACTCCCTAATGTGGGAAAGAAACTTCTAGTAAGTACATCTTCCCCATCACATGCACAGAGCTTAAAGAAAAAGAAATCTGAATTCCATGCAGAATTATATAATATGATCCTGCACTGGGAAGTAGGAGACACAAACTGCTGCTAAGCCAAGTTACCTAAAACATTTGCTAACAAGAGACTCAACATGGTGAAAATAGATACACCTAATGAGGCAACCCAAATGGAGAAAACCATTTGAAACATTTTCTGCTTGACCACAAAAACATTTTCAAAATAATGACTATACCTTTACCATATATTTACCTCATTCAAGCCTACTGAACACCCACATGCACTTAGATATCGAGGCGCTTCATCTGAATGCTACGTAAGTTACAGCTTTGTAACATATTTACAATAGCCAGCTGCACAAATTACATTTGTAATGTAATTTAGAAATAGAAAATTTTAAATTAATTTCTCAGTATTTACAGGTGATTTGAGAATTCTCTGATTTGCAGAGGTTTTAACTAATATATTAAAAAATAGACAAAGGTGATTGTCAAATGAAAATACAAAATATTAACTGGTTCTGACAAGCTACTTTACTGTAGCAAACTTTATATCTCAGAACTTACAGAATAGGAGATATTTCAATGGGGAAAAGAAAAGTTATATCCTATTTTCAAAGTAGACAAGCCATTCATTAAAGAGATTTGATTGAAGAAGAGGTACATCTGCCTCAGACATGTTATTGATCCATCTCTTTTCTGTCCTGGTCAGTAAATAAAAGTATTACTCTAGCACTTGAAATAAAGGGAACACGCTTTTCAAACAAGGAGACTGAGACTAATGTAGTAAGAATTACTGACAGGGCATCATGATCAGTGCCAAGGTGCTCCAAGCATACCAAAGCCAACGTTTTCTTTGACATATGTGGTCTCCAAGCACAGATTTAACTATGTGCATTTATCCATAAATTAGGAAAACATCATGCTGGCATCATATCTGTCAGAAAAACACGGTATGCTGTAATCTTGAGTGAAAACCAGCTGAAGAACAAGCCTACCTCGTAAGTCCAACTTTTAAAGTTTAGAAGTAGACCTGGGCTGAGCAAAACAGCTTATTGCTTTCCACAAACACCATAAGCAACAAGAGCAAAACTGCTAAATACAAAAGTAACAGAAAAACCTACAAAGATGTGTTACATTCTCAGCCTTTGAAATGGAATACAAGCCATAATAAATGGTTCCACCTAAGATCAAGGGATTCCACCATTAATGGGCACACTTAACTTCAGAAGTGTAACATATCATGGTAAAAGATGCAGCCTTTCTGCATCCTTTCAAGGGTTTTTCTGAGCAGCAGTCACCTCAGAAGCTTAAGAAGCTCAAGGCCCTAGGGTCCTTGAAAGTTCCAAAGGATCCTTAATATGGAGATAAAAAACTAAGAGAGCTATAATCAACATAATCCAGGCTACCATCCTCTAGATTTGTATATGCTTAGATCTGCTTTTTACCCACAGCATCTGAAGACAGGTGAGAACTGAACACCCATGACGGCGACTGATCTCCACCTAGACATTCTTTAGAGAAGCATGATACAATCAGAGCCTGAATTCTAGGGAGGATGCATGAGGCCAAACTGGAGAGATCAAAAAACTGTTACCTTTCACAAAACTGTATCATTACCATATAAATAAACATTTTTATCATCTCTTACTGAGATCCTTCATTACTTCAGAGGAAGACAGCAATTTTGGGAAAAATGAACAACTGAATCCTCTATGAAGTGTGACAGAAATGTAAGAATGTAATGGACTCTAAGCTGAGAGACACTGCATCTGTCTGGATTATATCAGAATACCAAATCCAGACCAAGTATTAGATGCAAGTAAGTCTTGACTACCACAGTTCTACCTTTGGTACCACACAGCCCATGATGCTTAAGCTATGCAGCAATTGTGGTGAAGCTATCCAGAACATAAAATCTAGTTCTACTGAAAAGTAATTTGTAATAGCCTGAGGCATGCAATTGAAGAAATCAATGACAGAAGATAATTTTTTCCTCTCAGATCACCTCCACAAAGCTGTAGTAAATGGGATGTCCTACTGGCAGGAGGGAAAACAGTACTCTACCACCAAATGAAAAAGATTTTCACTTTCTTGAAACAGTAACAATGAATACAAACTTAAAAGATTAAAACAGTCTTAAAGATGTCTCTGCCCCAAGTTACAGCTCTCCTCTGTACAGGTAATATATCATAATCTTGCACACCAGAGTCAAAGCTCACAGACAAGACAGAAGATGCTTTATTAATACCCTTATATTGTGAGGAGTGCTAAAATTAAGAATCAAACCCTTCCAGAGTACAGCAGGTCATCCTTATAAAAACACTACACGTGATCTCACATTTCAAATGCATTGCAATTAAAATATACGCACCTACAGACAAGTCCATCTTACTGCCTGGAATGTCGTCAGTTTGACTCTGGAGGAAAAAAAAAACAACACAATTCAGTTCTGACCTCTATTCAATGCTGAGAAATATTTCAGAAAGGTGGAATGCAGGAAGAACATGCTTGTGCTAATCAAAGTTTTACTTTAAACTGAAACTGAACGCAAGGGTTTCTGATATCACCCAGGACACACCTTGCCTCAACCCCCTAATGCTGTGCATGGCAAGTTTACCCATGTGAAAGCAGACACAAAGGCAGCAAAGGAAGAAGACGGACACAGAGCCGCTCCACAAATGAACCTCTGGCCTTGTGCTCCAGCCGTTGAGTGACAAACACTGAAAATAGTGGCCAAAATGACAGCTCATCTTCATGACCTGTCATGCCATCAAATCTTGAAATGTACTGCCATGGGATTCTTCAGCTGGCAGTCTGGGACAGGGAGATCCCATAGCTTTCAGAAGCATCTACTGTCTAGCAAACTGAATTAGAGCTTGAGAGCCAAAAGACTTTGCAAACTAATCCTAAGCATGTCAGTGTCTTGTGCAGCCTTAGACTTCTCACACAAACTCTGTATTATCTTCTGCTAGCTAATATTACATTGTATTCCTGCTTCACAGGATGACAACTGGAACAAATTCTGCAAAATATTTTACAAATCAGCTTGTCAGAAGTTCCTTTATATAAAAAAATTATATAGAATTATTTTTGAAATACTTTCCTACAGTTCTGTCCTTTTCTCAATGATGTGATATTTATTCACTTTACCAAACAATCTTTACTTATGGATTCATAATGAGACCATTTTTTTTTCTAAAAAGACCCTGTTGTACTTCAATATAAATTCAGCCAAGACAGACACAGAGCTATAAATCTCCTTTTCTGATAGATGGCTGAGATTCAGAATGAGTCCCTTGGACATATCACAGATGTCTGACACTACAGGCAGGAGCTTCTATCTCAAGTGCTCTAAACAGCATGTTATGAAAATAAAACTAAAAAACCCAAACCCAAAAACAAAGCAACAAAAAACCCCACCCCACACTAAAAAGCAACAATCCTCCCACCCCAAAACCAACCAAACAAAATAAGAAAACACACATCCCCCTCCCAAATCTATTACTTGCAAGGAAACTGCAACCTCAGAGCAGGAGCTATCATAAAGTAACTTTAGGAATCAAAGTAGATTTAAGGTTTTTCTGAGAAGCCATTCTGAGCCAGCTACTACAGCTATTATAATCAACATCCCAGCATAGCAAATGCAGATAAATAACTGTGAAACAGTTGATATTTTGACTTATTTAAAGCTTACAGCTCTTTCACAAAGCTGCATTTTCTTTTTAAAAAAATTACTTACTAGCAAGCCCATATTTGAAAACTGTTTGGATAAAGGGTTCATCCACGAATCACTATTTCCTCCTTTTAATGCACACTGAAAAAAAAAAAAAGATAAAAGTATTTTTAAGAAACTTCTTGATTCCTTAAATTCTTCTTTATCCTTGAGATGTGCATGTTTAAAATGAAAATTCTGGTACCAGAGAAACTCATCTCCTGAAAAAATAACTAAGTATTTACATGTTTGGAAACATTTACCAAATATTGTGTCTTGTACAATTGCCCACTGTTAGATCTTCCAAACTGGCTGAACACTGTCATTTAGAATGTTTATCACACCTTCAGTTTCATTCTGCAATCTGGAAAGATTTGTGAGCATTGTTTATTTTTTCTTCTGTTACAGTTTAATACATTCTTTAATCCAGTGCATTCAGAGGCAGATTACTTCCTTTCTTCCCTTTAGCATGGTGTCTCTTGCACAGGACTGTGCTAACCAGGGTCTCTTCTTGGCCTTAAGAGATCACCAAAACCAATACTAACACAGTTCAACAGTGAAACAATTTTCAGTTTTTCTGGTGGTTCAAGTAAAAAAGCTTTAAAAGAGGAAAAAAGTCCCTGAGAATAATTTCTGTGAAACATGAATTGTGAAACTCCCTATCATACCACAGTAGTATTTCCATGTCTTAGGAAACTGCTGTGCCTTGCCTTTTGAGTCTTCCCTACCTACTTCATGAGAAGCAGACACACCATAGTCCTTCTAATATTAATACAGTAACAAGGTTTACTGCACTAAAGAACTTCAATGAAAACAAACCTTAAAAAGAAATTTACTCAGGACTACAGCCAAGCTCCTGCTCCTGTTTGAGGCCAAATGTCAACAACAACAAACATAAGTCAGACATAAATCCAACGGTTAGAAATAAGAAGTTCATGTGCCAAAAGGACTGTGGAATGCAAACTTCAAGCAGGCTGTGCAAGAACAACAGCAGCAGCCTAACAAAGATGTGTCAGCAAGAGAAGAGAAATAGCCTTGGGATACTTATTTTCATTTAGTAATGGCTGTGCAGCTTACAAACCAAAAGAATTTGACACCTACTGGAAGATTTATTAGTCATAACAGGTGTAATATATTAAAGCAAATCCAAAAACCTCCCCTTTTTTGTACCAGTTTAAGAGGCAGCTTGCTGAAACTCTGCAAAACCTTCTTAAAAAATAACTACATAATGCTCTAACATATCAGTCAGACTGTTTTCAGACAACACAGTAGTAATGAGTCATCCAAGCATTTTACCTTCATTTGTGTTTTCTTTCCTCCTTGTCCCCAGCTTGTTGAGTTGTGGGAGGAACTGCTTCCCTGAGAGCCTGCTGTGTTCCAGACTCCTCCCTCCTCCTCCTCTTCCCAGCTGGAATGACGTGTTCCTGTCACTGGCCCATCACTCTCTCCCCAGCCATCTTGCATAGATTTAGAACCTTTAGAAAAAAACAACAAAAAAAAGAGCTCAAAAGCAGTCTACAATACCATGCAGCTGGTGATGTGACACTGCAACATTGGCTGAGATCATCAGAATCACAAATGAACTGAAAAAATAAATTCAAAAATGTGTCTTCACTCTTAACAGCTGTAACAACTTGTGCACGAATTCCAAAACCCAAGAGATTTGGTGGCATGTTCACATGTCATGTTGTGCAACTATTTTAAAGAAATGTCAAACCTTTAAAGATATAATAGCAATAGGGACCTCTTATACAGATACAGCTTCATTTAAAAGGCAACCTACTATTTTTGAGTGCAAATGAAAGCCTTCAAAGCACACACAAAAACCAGGGCTGCTGAAGACTCTGGTTCAGGCGGTTTACCAATTAATTCCTCTCTCACTTCAAAACTTCCCCTTGCCATAAAATTACTCTTCCATAAAATTACTAAAACAACTTTCAAGTAGAATCTGAAGGCAAACAACTCACATGTCTGAATATAAAAAAAGTCAGGAACTGCAGTTAGTCTACCATGGGGATCTCTACCCTGACCATAATGAAAGTAAGGACAGCAGCATTTTATGGCAGTTTAAGAGATATGTTAAAATGCATCATAAATAAACATTCAGATACTTGAGAGGAAACAGCTTTTTAAAGTCTGTTCAACTGGGTGCTAAAACTGAGGGCTGCTTACGAAACATACTGGTCTAAGTGCAAAAAATCTACCTCTTGGCCCTCTAATCCTGCTACTTACACAGAAAAGGCTACATTGAAGTATTATCACTGCAGAGTCAAGAACACAATCTGGAAATGTTATACTGGGTAGTCCCTGCAGCTTTAATTTATTTCTGGTGACAGTGCTTAAATATATACTACGCTACTACATGACCAGAGATTATTTTTCTACACTGACAGTGCTCTAGGACTCTTGAACATGAATTTGGACAGTGATGTAAAGATGACTTGTTTGTATGACACCAGCTTAATTTTTTGCATTTGTTGAGTAAGGAGATACCAAGAGCCATAGGACAAATGAAATTTTCAAGGTTAAAAAAAAAAAAAAGAAGGTATTACAGAAAACAATTTATTCCTATTTCTGCCAGAATATTCTTATGCAATGCTGGCAGAAATACGTAAATGTAGTTTTTTAAACAGGTGGACACTGAATACTGATCTATGCTTCTTTCCTTAGCTTCAAACTGATTTTTTTCCTTTTTCTCACAGCTAGTCTGTATCCTGTCCCTAGATTTTGCTCTAGAGCAGGGGACAGCTCACATACAGAAGAGCATGTGTAGGTTGCAGTTCTTTGGCACACATACAGACCAGCCATGGTAAGCAAGCAACCATGTGTAGTCTTAAAGGACTCTATTAAGCATTAACCAATCAACAGAATTTTCAACAGATCAGCTTCAGAAGTTCTTATTTTGGTCACATTTAGGTATATTTCTATAGATAAAAGAAGACAGCCATCTAAAATCAGCTTAGCATCCTCAAAATGCCAAGTCTGTGAGGCAGCATGGGAAGCCTCTCATCCACAAAAGCCTGCTGTAACAATAACACTAAGGAAGCAAAGCTTTTTTGTTTCACAAATGGCCAAAGTATTTAATTGGCATGGGAGGAAGGGAGAGTGACCCAGCAGCAAACTATCTACACAGCACTTCATTTCAAACAATTACATGTTGCAAAAGCAACTTCTGGGCTGGAAACAGTTTTACATTAGGCATCAACAAGTCAAGTTCAGTAACACCATCATCAGTAGTTCCTACAGGAAACTTCACATCCAAATGTTACTGACTTTGGCAATAACATTGCTTTTGTTTGTTGTTTTTTCCTTAAAATAAGTGAAATAAAAATTATAAAAACAACTTGGATCATCAAGAATAATACCCACAAAAACTCTTAATATAGCAAAATTTTAACTTTGAAGTAAATTTTCAAAATATTTCAACACCTCATTCCTGAAAGACACTGCGATAGGCATTTAGGTTCTACTACATAGTGCAGTTCTTAAGAGTTACAATTTTTCTCACTTGTTCAATTAAAAAAAAAAAACAAAAAACAAAACAAAACATTCAAAGCCAAGTTGCATTATCAAAGCACAGATAATAATGTAACGGCCTCCACAGTGAAATTTGCCAGTACTGTGCATGCTGTTTGCTGATATGATCAGAAAAGGTGCATGTAACAAGTATGCAACCAGAAAAAAAGAGAAAAATACACATTTCCTTACTGTGTTTCAGCACTTCCAGAATCAGAGTTGCTTAGCTAGGAAATTTTTTACTACCTTAAAACACAAAGTTTCAGTCACTTACAAACACTTAATACTCATTCATCAAAATCCTATAAAACCATTCAACACTGCTTGTAGGCCTCAGACAATTCCTCCACAGGTGAGCTATGTCAAAAGGCCATACACAAAATTCTCCAAGTCAATTGCAAGGAAACAGGTGTCTGGCCTATACTCACTAGATTTCATGGCACTCGGGGCGTTGGAAGGTGCATTCCCCCAGCCTGTAGTCGATGCTCCTGTGTCATCTACTTCACCCCACCCGGGACTGGTTTCATTTGGCTCACCCCAGGCGGACGTACCATTATCTGGAGCAGGCGGAGTGCTTTTGCTCCAGACTGCACAGAGGAGAAAGAGGTTTCATTACAGACCATTTAGACAACAAACTGTTTACTGCAGTGCAGCACCACGTCATTATTTTACTGCTTCGTTCTTCTTGTTGAGAACTTTGGCTTCTCAGCAGCGTGGGTGCAACAGAATTGACAATCATTCACAACTAATTTAGAGTGGGCACTGACCTCCAGGGATGGAAAGGAAGAGAAGGCTATGATGAGTAATACTCTTCTCCCAGATTAAACATGAACCCCACATTTAATACTGTCCTCCTATTTTTGAACTTTTGTGACTAATTACAAGCATCTAACTTAGGGGTTTATATACTGACTACAGGATATATTTGCAGTACATATTAAATCAAGACAAAGTCCTTTAAAGTGTCTTTGAGTCAGAGGAAAAGATTACATAACAATATTTTCTTAATCCATTTCCAGGCTATGTAACTTTTTCTTGTCCTTATTCCAAAGAAGAATGTATTTCTCCAAGTATTTTTTTATCACACAGCAAAGCCAAACTTGACTAAGAAAACTGTCACAGACGTACTCCATTTCAAGTGTTAACTGAGTGTTGCAGAGCTACATGTTTTTCACTAAAAATAAGTAAAGATTTTCTACCCATTTCTCTAATATTTACATATAAAAAATGCCATTTAGTCCAGAGAAAGGGACGCTCAGGGGAGACCTTACTGCTCTCTACAAATATGTGAAAGCAGGCTGTAGCCACACTGGGGGCAGTCTCTTTTCCCAAGTAACAAGAAATAGGACAAGAGGAAATGGCCTCAAGTTGCACCAGGGCAGGTTTCAAATGGATATTAGGAAAAACTTTTCACCAAAAGGATTGTCCAGCACTGGAACAGGTTGCCCAGGGAAGTGGTTGAGTCACCGTCCCTGGAGATATTTATAAGACCTGCAGATTTTGCACTGAGGAACATAGTTTAGTCATGGACTGAGCAAGTGCTGGGCTTATTAAGTTTATGGCTGGACTCAGTCTTAAAGGTTTTTGATTCTGCAATTTAACCTGTTCTTCAGAGCTCAGATTTAATATGCAGATTTGTCAGTTAACATACATTTTTTTTTCCTGGCAAAGTGACCAGTATTCAGAAGCCAATTACTGAAGCATAACAAGCAGAGGACTGATGGATTCAAATTTTAAAGACACTTTAAATACAGAACCAAATGTTCAAATAAGAATTTGGTTTTCTTTATAGAATAAAGCTATTAAGAATTGGTGACTACAAGCATCTCTCTTATGCATTAAGTTTACAATCAAATATAGGAGCTTGCTGAAGAAAGGAACAAGATTAGTACCTGATGCTTGTGATTTGCTAGTCATTGGAGTAGGCAGGCTCTGCTCCCGTGGGGCCTGCCCTCCTTGTGAGTTCTTGTCCCACAAATTCACATTCTTGTAGTTATAACTGCTAGGATCTCCCCACGCTGAAGTGCCATCATCAATATCCATTTTTCGACTGATTGACTGTGGAGAAGGTTCTTCCCAGCCACTAGGCTCCTCCTCTTTGGGGGCAGCTGGCTGTGGTCCGTTGTTCCAGTTTGAGTTTGGAGGCCGCCCATTACTTGGAGTTTGGGGCGGTGGACCCCAGGAACCAGAAGACTCCTGCTGCTGCTGCTGGTGCTGTTGCTGCTGCTTGTTCCAGGAGTTGGGCTGTCGACCCGTCTCGTTCCATGTTGAAGTTCTTTTACAATCGTCCCATCCACCCTTTGAAGCAGAGCTTGTATTTGCACCATTACCCCAAGTTCCAATCTCATTTTGCCCACCTTCACCCCAACCAGACACTGGCTTGTTTCCTGCACTTTCCCAGTTACTGTTTTTAGTTTGGTCAACTTCCTCTCCCCAACCGTTCTTTCCAGAAGACCATCCTTGATTACTTTGCCGTCCACCCCACCCCTGATCCTTACTAGAGCTGTCATTCCAAGAGGAAGATGATTTTTCTTCTTGCCTTCCTCCTCCCCAATTAGAAGAATTGGAGTTCTTATAGTCATTCCATCCTCCAGTATTTTTGGGGTCCTTCCATTCCGTTGGGGTTGAGAGCTCACCCCATCCAGACTTGTTTTGATTGCTTTGGCTGGGTACATCGCCCCAGCCCCCTGAGTTCTTTGTCTGTGTGGCAGAGCTCTCCCACCCCTCAGTTCCTTTATCAGACTTCCCCTCGGGTCGTGGCATCTCTTCAATATCCCACACGGTATCTTGCTTAATTTGAGTCTGGCCCCAGCCAGTGTTTGAAAGCACTCGGGGGTCCAAGTCAGTCCTGCTCAGCAAAGTCTGCAGGACTGCCTGGCAATCGGGATGCGTAGGCCTGTATGATCGGCGTCCAGAATTGTGACTGTCACTACTTCCTGCTTTGTGGTTGCTTCCAGTGCTTTGACCTCCAACCTCACTTCCTGCAGAGCTGGAAGATCTTCCCCAACAGGGAGCCTGGGAATTGCCTTGGTTTTCAGGAAGAGGGTGGCCTTTTTGATTGTCCCATGCTCCAGTGCTAGAATTTGGTTGGTTTGGACCACTCCACTCTCCAATCTTCAGTTCATCAGACCCAGACAGCTGTTTCCATTCTCCCTGAGAGACCCCAGATGTTAATTTGTTCCCTTCACCCCATTTGCTTTCATTTGCATGCTGAGGGCCAAAGTTCCAAGACCCACCACCCGTAGACCGGTTATTGTTTTCCCAAGAATCACTTCTTGACCCATTAGGTTTTTGAACAGAAGCTCCTTTCCAGGAGTCCTCTCTATCCTTTCCATTGTTCCCATGGTTTCCAGAATTGCTCTGCCCAGAGACTGTTTCAGTTCCAGAAGACCCCCTAGATGTACCCCAAGATCCAACACTCCCAGTCTTTCTTTCTCCAGTGCTTTGAGAAGGGGTGTCAGTGCTCCTGGAAGGGTTCCCCAAGCCCATTTCAAAGGGCATTCCCTTATTCTCCATAGGGTTTGGTGAACTTAAGTTCAAGGAGTTAGTGTTTCCATTTTTTGGTCCATCAGTGTTATGAATTTGAGCCTGTTCTCTGCCAGAGACAAAGTTAACACCCGCATTTTCCATCTTTGACTGCTGTTCCCTAGAGGTCTGACCTACTGTGCTAATCTGTGCATTGGAGCTACCACTATCAGATTCCAGAGTTCCTTTCCTAGAATTGCCCTCTTGAACCAGTGCTGGCCAAGCAGATGGGTTGCTATTTGGGTTAAAGTTGCTGAAACCAGAACCGGGACTGATTCTGTCTTGTCCACTCAAATTCCTCCAATTACCAAGTCCATTGTTACTCTCGGCAGCAGGGTTGGAAGATTGAACAGATTTAGCCTTGGGATCAGATTTCCAGGCCCCAAGATTACATTCGTTTCCAGCGCTTCCAGACTGGCACTGGCTTCCTTTTCCTTTGTTACTAGTGGTGCTTCCTGGCAGAGCGTTCTTCTCCAAGCCAGGGTTCGAGGCACTGTTGTTATCGGTGGTGTTTTCGGAAGAAGACTCAGCATCTTTGCTGGCAATACAAGGCCACTCTTCCATGTCAGACCCGTCTACAATCACCTTGTCCCAGATGTGAGTTGGGTTGGCGTTGGTGCCGCTGTTGGAGGAGGCTCCAGGACCCCAAGTGGAATTTGCATAATTTGAAGCAGCAGCACCTCCAATTGCTGAATCTAAAAGAAAATAAACAACAAAACACCCAAAAAGGTCCATATTATTTACAAGCATAGAACATTTTTGACATCAGTTATCCCACTTATTTTGCAGAGCATAAACTCCATAGTAACAGCTGCAGCAGTATTCATAAGTGAATATATACTGTTACTACCAGTACCAGCTCATATGACAACTTCCATGAAAATAACACAAACAGCTTAAAAAACTGGGTAAGTCCCCTCCCAGACTCAATTCCTGTGTTATATATTCCAAAGTAAAGATCACAATTTCTGGTTGCTAATACTTTCAATAAAAGGTAAGATCAGCTTTCAGTGTCTGTCTGAGGCTTCCAGTTCATTAGTTTAAACAATGAACATCCAATGAATGCCTTCCGGATCCCCCTTCACTGAGGGCCACCAGTGAGGATCCAGACTTTACAGCAAAGGTTAAGACTCCCTTGTAAGCTTTGAATATTGATGAACAGTAGTTTGCCTTCAACCACTAAGCCCCACCCACCAAGATTCAAAAGATCAAGCAGTTCCCAAGTACATTCTGTTCCTTCTGTTGCTTTAACCTCAAATGCAAACTGAACAATAGCAAGGAAGTATGACTCCACTGATATTTTTATCTGTCTATCTTTTTAGCACAGAGTAACCCTTTTTTTCCCTTCCAATTAAAAAACTTTCTGATTACACAGATTACAGGAAGAACTTAAAGAGGACAAAGACAAGATCAAAAGACTGCAAAGTTTTGAACTTAGAGATGTTTCAGCCAATGAATGATGCATAGGCAGCTCTGAACTTAGCAAGATCTTCAAATCAGTGACTTCAACAGAACATTTAATTTCTGTGAAGATGTTCTAAAAGTATTAAGACTGGGTCGCTTGCTCACCTATAGCATGCTAGACACAATTTAATGGATTGTTTTATAAAACCAGCCTTCCCTTGCTGTTTTGACAGTGGTAATAATTGTAACTATTGAAAGACTTTCACCAATAAAATTTAAATATTTCTGTCCAAAACTGTCTTGTATGTCCTGAATTACCATTGGTATTGTAAGAATTACATAGAACACCCATCATCTCAGTCTCCTGCATTGGTATGAGACAATAGTATACTTGGTGTCATCTTTCAGGGCACTAGTTTTGCCAGAAGGATTTCAATCCTGGTAGAAAAAGGTGGATGTGAAGGAGGATTACATGTTGACTTTTAGTATTATCCTCACCAACACCACCTACGACCATCTGGCAAATACAAAAATGTGAGCAAGTAGGTAAGCTGCATGATCTTCCCCACTGGGAACCTGCTTTTGTTTTCTTTCACGTGGCATGAATTTAACCATAGTATCAGTGCATACATGCTCCACCAACCTGGGCCAAAACCCCAGTTCAGTTTGTCACCAGCCAGATGTGAGGCGGGATCAGCGACGCACGAGGCAGGTAACACTGCACTTCCACAAGCACTTTGATGAAGCCAGTGTCTCTCTTGCTCACCTGCTCATTCCCACTGGCACACCTACACTCTCATATGCTAGCATCTATGTTCTCACTGATATTCAGCTGGGTGAATGGGTAAAAGTCATCCAGACTGAAATCAGCTTTAAAAACCAACCTGATTTAATTTTAATACAAGTCAGACCCCCAGCCCAGTTAACTTGTTATGGTGTAGAGAAATGGATGAGCTGAGGCAGGTCTCAAGGACCCTGGTCTCTCCTGACTTACAACAGGATAATGCAACTAACCACTGGCTAATACAGCCATGTAACCTCTTAGTTGTCAATGCACCTTAAATGAAGTGTAAAAACATGAGAATGTGTAATACCAAATTTCAACCTCAGAAGAACAAATATTAAGTGTCAAATAAATACATACAACTTAAATAAAATACTTGAAAATGGTCCTCATATAGTACACCCAACGGCAAAAAAAAATTGTTGCTCATAATAAGTTTTGAAAACTTTTAGAATGCTTCACTAACACAAATTTTCCTTAGTCAGTCTACTACAATAACTGTGAAGGCACACCAGTACCAGGATTTTATACAGGAACCATAGACTTGAGTGCATGTTTTGTTTCAGGTGTTTTATCAAAATAAGTAATCTCCAAGACATCTGTTTTTAGACTGGTAAGTTAAATTTTTGCCAGTGTAATTTGACTTTCACCTTTTCCTTTATTAAACAGCAATTATCAAAGACAAGATAAATACTCTGACAAACAGGAATTCAAATATATGGCTAGAGCTACAAATGAATTCAAGTAGTGAAGCCACAAGACAAATGGAATTATTAGTTTTCCTAGAAATCGTATTTAACAAGGATAGCCATCCCACCTAGCTCACTTGGTTCTGTACAAGTTGCCTGTTTTTAATTCCAAACCACAGAGAACTGAAAAAAATCTTGATTTCCATGATGGTAAAAAAATCATGATCCCATTGATCTGGCATGATTTTCAAATAAAACTCAAGACATACTGGTATTGTTATTTTATTCTTCTTGACTTTCAAGTATTAAACAGTTCTTTTTAAAATAGCCTGACTTTTAGAATTGAAGCTGTCCTTGACTTTACATGTCACCTAAGTCTTTCTTCAGAAGGCAGATATTTTGAGTGGAATTTTGTTTGTTCTGCTATTATAATTAAAGAAGAAATATTACAGCTATTGCAATTCACCAAGGGTCTAAAAAATTCAGGAGCAGCTATAACTTCCCCATGCTCACCAAACAATTCTAAAATCAATTTATCTTCTGGAATACAAAATGAACGGAAAAGTAAAAACAGAACAATCACCACTTGTACAAAAAGGCTTAGCTTAAGTGTAAGAAGTAAGATTACTACCAAAAAACAGAAGTGAGGAGTAATAGGTCATCTTTGTGTTTCATCCAGACAGGACGTGACAGACACCTGCCCTTTGCAGACCTGGCATCTGCAAGTCTGTTTTACGAGATGATACAAAAATGTGACAAGACAGGAAATTCATGTCAAAGCAACCTGAAGAGCCATTAGGAACTACTCAGTGACAACCATAAAATGCTGTTTATTTATGCCTCGCTTGCAGAACATATTTATACCTTGCTGCATAACATTTCAGCAACCAATTAAAACCACTCAAAACATACTTAAAAAAATTAAACCTCATTCCATCTAGCAGAAAAAAGTATATCCATTGCTGCCAATAGCAGCCTGTACACTGAAACAGCAGAAGCCCCCCCAAGAGCAACCTGAGTTTTGTTACATAATGACAGGCTTACGCACAATTTCAGCCATCCCTTTTCTGCCGTGCACCAACACCTTCCTTTACTACCATTTATTATCACCACTTGCCTGTTGCAGTCCCACTGTCGCCCTGCAGCAGTGCTCCTGTCACTGGTTGTGCGTTGTTTGGGTTTGCTCCTGGTGCTGCTGGGGAGGGAGGCCCTGCTCCACCCCCAAGGAGCATGCAGGATGGCGGAGGGGGCTGCCCACGTTTCAGTAACACTTTGTGGTCCTGCTGGCAACGGAATCGCGGCGGCACCTCCCGAGGCATGTAGCGGGCGGCGCTTGGCGGTTGTCCGTTCGGCACTGCCACCCTTTTGGCATTGTTGCCACCATTGACTGGTGGCGATGGAGAGTTGCCAATTGGGCTGGCAGCCACTGGTTGGCTTAAACTTGGTTTCGTCACTTCGGGCACTGAAAAACAGGAAGGATGAAAATCAGAAGTTTTTCCACTTAAACCTGTGCTAGCTACAAGAACTCACTGCGACTCTGTGTTTTCATTATTTTATCTCTGAAATACTGTGCAGCTTCCACCTTCTCAACAATCAAAAACAATTTCAAGAAGCAGGAATAAGCAGTAGCAGCAGATCTTTTGCTTCCATGTGCAACTCTGTAGTCTAGGATGAAACTCTACATTGATCAATTTTGCTCTAAGCCCAAAATTTCTTGCAAATGTAAAGTTGGCCAAGAATATACCCTAGACAGTGACTAATTTTAAAATGTGAGTAGTCAAATACAACTGGCTCCACCTTACTGATCTTCAACTGGTCTTTGGATTGTTATGCATCATCATCTTTATGGGAAATCTGAAATTAGAACCCAAGTTTTCACCTGTTTTCTAGGCTACACAGCCGCTGCCTAAACAAACAAAAAGATGGGCAATAACCTGCTTCTTTCTGGATTCAGAGGTAACAAATCTCAGCTGTCTGTGCTGCTCTTGTGCAAGGCAGTAATAGCTGACTTTCACCCAAAAGACAGTCCTACACAGAGCAACGGTATTTGGCTCACTTAAGGTTGCCCTGATGGTCACCAGGTGCCTCTCTAAGCAAAGATAAGCTGCTTCTGAGGACTATTATGTACTGGAGATAAAAATCACAGATCTTTGAGGAGCTAACACCATGACAAAATTTGCTTAAGAGACTCTACACAAACTAACCATAATTAGTCAAACTTCTACAAATGTGAGATCAACACAAGTGGGTCTGTCTTTGGCAACATGAACACATTATTCTCCACATTTTATTTTTGTAAGGGTTTTCAGATTTCTCTAGACAGACTTGCCAAACCCCTAAAAGGTGTTGTCAGCCATTCAATCAAGTTAATATTTTAGGCCTTTTCTTTCACTAATGGCAACTTCCCCACAAAATTTATCAAAAACTGATATACAAAACAAGATTAAATATATTTTTACAACAGCTCCATTATTTAGTTCGACTTTCAAGACAGTCACTCATCAGTCCTGCCTACTGGACTTTTATGTGCCTGAATTTAAGTTTCCAAACCCAAGTCATTTTCATTCATTTTGGTACCTCACTATAAGCAGTACTTTTGCTGTCTTTCATTCCCTTTATAAAGATGGTTTCAGTCTTGGTTATTTGTCTAAAACCGTTGTAAAACAGAGAACTGAGTATTTCAGCTAAACTATCTTGTCCACAATCCTCATTTTTAATTCAAGTATTTCGATACTGACAACACATCTGCAGAATCGTTGCAGCTTCTCCATTTTAATCACCTCAGCTTATTTCTTCTCAATACTCATAGTCAGCGTTTCATCTTTACTCATATGTCCCCTTCCTTTTCTAACAGTTTTGGTAAAGATCTGAATCTTGGCTCAAGTCAGTAAAAGTACTCCTTAGGATTAAAGATTCTTACCTTTGGTTTTTTGATCTGTGACCTGCAAATTAAGAGCAAGAATGTAAATAGAGTTTTGAGCAGTGCAAAACAAACATTGAACACGTTGTGCTAAATCACAACCTTAATATGTTAGTAAAAGAACAGAATTTGTTGTTGAATGAAAACAACCATCTGATTAACTAAGTCTAAATAGTATTCCTAGTTATATATACACATATATATCCAAGGTTTTCAAAAGTACTACAACTGCTGCAATAACTCTGCCTGATGCAAAAGGCCCTGGCAGAAACAATCATACTTCACTCATGATTTTAAGTACTCAATCCTCCTCCTCCTCATCCCAAACATGGGCTTCCAAAGCACAAATAAACATGTGCCACAGCATTACAGCTCTCTCAGATTCTGGAGATGAGGTATTTCAGTTAAAGTGTAACAAAGCCTTCCTTCTGTTGAGAGTATCCTTACAGTAGACTGTTGGGGCCTGAAGTAACCACAGCAGTCTGTCTCTCTGCCATCTTCCCATTTCACCTTTCCTAGAACATCTCTTCCAAGGAGAAGTAACTAAACCTTACGGGATTCATTTCCACACTTACAAAGAGTGCCAGCAACACCTATAAAATAAATCTACTGAAAACAACAAGAAGTCAATGACTGAAATGAGCATTCACGCTGGCCAACACACTCAATATGAGTTTGTGTTTGTATCTGTATCCTACATTGTTTCAGCATAGCAGATTTCAAGCTACAGCAGTAACAAACACATCACTGGTATATTCTCTGGAATAGTGTGTATTGTAGCATTTTTTGAACCTGTCTATCATGAGTTCCACTACACAATAATGAAAAAAACCCTAAAGATCATCATGTGTCAGGTTCTATGACACCTATTCTTAAAAGAAATTGCTGAACTAGTCCATATTTCTGGAAAGCACACAGCAACAGTATAGAATAATGAAAGCACAAGTAAAAAAGCAGTTTATTGTTGAAACTAACCAAGCCAGAACTCCTTTGTATGGTAAAGAATAAAAAGACAAAATGCACTAAATTGCTATGGCATTGTTTACTTTGGAAAGATGAAAACTGCAATATGCAAAGTGGAACATTCACTATAACACAAAATCTTAAGCATTGTAACCTCAGAGACATACACTATCCCAAAGCCTCAAGGACAATAAAAATGTATCCGTACCAAAACCATGTCTGTACCAAGACACACACCAATTTTCAACTTCACCCATGAAAAATCCTGTATGCATCAAATTATATCATCCTCTGTAACAGTTGAAGATTCTGTTACACACTTAATTGACCCTGATGCTTGGCTATTAAAGGAAAAGGGGAAAAAATATGAATTAACACAATCTGGTAATGCTGATAAATTTCCTGTAGTCAACAGTAGACACATTTAGTAAATTAGTAACTTGTCTACTTGGACAGAAAACATTTTACTGAATCCTTGAAAAATTCTACATGATAAACACAAATTACTTCAGACAAAAAAAAAAAACCAAACAAGAAACCTTCTGCCTATAATGTCTCTTTCTCCTAGTCAAAATGATCTGGCTTTGTGATTGCTTTTGTCTAGAATTCAAAAGCTGAAAAAAATGTGACAGTGTCTCATATTTACAGCTGTCATCTCTCCGTGGGCAACCTGTGAGCATCACAGGAGCAGCTACAGTGAATGGGCAACTGGAATAAATCTCAGTCTACTGATGAGCTACCAAACAGCACCCTGGACACCAACCACAGGTATATTTAAGCTGCGAACTTGCTTGCATAACTTCCCTTGAAGTGATTTTTTTTAAAAAATTATTTTTAAAGTTTCAGATGATCCAGACAGAACAATTGTTTCACGTTAAACAAACTTAGTTTGAAGATAGCACCCTGAAATCATTGCTGCTTATTTGGTGAACACCTCCATAGCCAGTAAGAATAAACACACACATTTACATTTTGCCCATTTGGCTGCTCGCTTTGCTATTCTAAGCTATCTCCAGCTATTACTGTCAAGTTTTTCTTATAGGAGATGAAATTACTTAGTCTTTACCCTTCCTGAGAGTGCGGCAGAGTATGTACTGAACAACTTACTAGGTGAGAGACCACACAGGAAAGCTGGCAAATCGAATACAAATCTCTTTTGTATTCAAAGCACCAATTCCTCAGTAAACACAGCACTGTTATCAAGATGATCAGTACGGCCTTTTCAAGTTTCCCTTTTATCACTGAATATCAGCACATAATCCTCAAGTCTCTACTCTTTATCCATAAGGATCTGCTCTTTCTGCTTTCTACATATGTTTTTTGCACTTGAACATTAAACAGCACCAACACCGAGGTAAAAAGACACTGGAGAGATCTTATCTGTAGCAAGTGCTCTTTTGCACTCTTATTTGGGGATGTATGAACTGGCTGAAGACAACTGACACACATTTATCTGCACCCAGTTTAAACTGATAGACGCAAATTGGTGAAACGCCACATTAAAAAAGACCCTGGGTAAGCCAAGATTTCACTGAAGCTGATGCTGTCAGTTCTTAGCAGAAACCCACAGAATGTAAGAGTGAACACTGTGATCTTTCATTACCTGATCTGTTACTGAAGCAACTGAAAAACAGAGTACTGAAAGAAAGTAAAGCCTTTTGCTCTCAGTTTCACATAATCATTGACATTGGAAGGAACAGCCTCTGGAAATCTAATCCACAGTTGCCATACCTGTCCTCCACCTGGCCCGAGGAGGTTACTCAATTTCAAAACAAAATCATCAAAACTGGATTGCACAGGACCACGTGAAACTCAGTTTTGAGCATTTAAAGATAGAAGCACCACAACCCCTCTGGGAAACCTGTTCCAGTGGTTGCCCAGCCACATACACACACAGAAAATGAGTCTTTTTTATGACTAGGCAGACTTTCAATATGTACATAATGCTTTATGCTTTGCCACTGGGCACCGTGGAGAAGAGTCTGCCTCCATCTTTTACTCCCTTCCACAAAGTATTGATATACATTGATGAGATCCCCCAAGCCTCCTCTTCTCCAGGAGGAAGAGTCATAACACTCCCAGGCTCTCCTCATTTGTCAGAGCCTCCAGTCCCTTAATCATCTTAAAGGCATTTTGCTGGACTTGCTCCAGGGTGGTTGCACCTATCTTATACTGGGAAGCCCAGAAAGGATTTTATCAGTAAAAAACATGGATAATGCCCTAAGAGACTCAAGCTTGTATGTCAAATTAATTCCTAAAACAACCTGCCAGATGTTTTTTTGCAAAATACAGACCTTCTAGTACACCAAGTTTCAAACTTGTTTTCTTAGCAGAACCATTTTTTGGTGACTTACAAATTCTCCACAACTCAGACTTGAACTGGCAGACTTCAGCAAAAGTGCTATTAGCTACAGAAAATGTAAAATGCAAGTAATACTTAGCAAAAAACAATCTTCAGTAGTAAGTATTTAATATACTTCCTTAAGGATTAAAAAAGAAAAAAAGGATCTTCCTGCTCTAATAAATATTTGCACAATTTTACTGCAAGAATTGCAAAAGCTCATCAGTATTTCAATCCACAAACACCTCAAACAGGTAGCAGTTGTGTAGAGAGGGATCCAAAGAAGCCATATTAAGTAACTTAAATACTTTGTATAAAAAAAAAAAAAATCTTTTATTTTACGTAGCACTCTAAGGAGAAAAAATAGCCAAGTTAAACACCTCAGTTCCAGGAAAATGATGCAAAAAAAGTGTCTTGAAAGAAGCACCACTCTAAGCAATCAATTTTTAAGTTCAAATACAAACAATTTAACACCATTACTTATTACCACCAATACTATTTATGCTTCAGCTGGACAGAAGAATTCAAATAACAAAACCCACCTTCTGAGCAGAGTCCTTCTTTTTCTTATCCTCTTTCTTCCTTTTCTTGTCTTCCATTAACTGTTCTTCCCTTTCTTGCTCCTTCTCTCTGCCAAAACATGAAAAACAATGGTCTGAGTACAGTCGAGTTGTGTAAGAGCCACACATATTATAAACCTCTTCCCAGCAAGAAAGACAGTCAAGTTATCAGATTCCTCTTATCATACTTCATTTCTATCTGAGGGTTTCCATCAAACTGTGATAAGAAAAGCACATTCCAGCTCAGTATGGCCACAATCATGCCACATGCTGCATAAAGGAAAATTCCTTTTTTTCAGATCAGGTCTGTTATGGCAGCTCCCTACATAAATTAATCACACGCCTGATAACAGAAAATATCTTCAAGACATTTTAGCCAAAGTACTCCTATAATTGGGTCATGCTATTATTTAACGAAGAGTCTCATGAATCTTTTCATATGGTAAAAAAAAAATAAAAAGGGAAGTTGTAATTTAATATAAGATAGTTTGGTCTGATACAACATTTATCTTCACAAGGGGAAGAGATTATTCTATTGCCTGTAGCTATGTCACTTGTAAGAGACTAGAAGTGTCACATCAAATCAAACCTATCATTTATTATACAAATCTCTAATTTAATTTCTAGGCTATTATATCCACCCACAGAATTTTTGTGATGAAACTTGTAATATAAATTACTTTCCAGGGAATCTATTTTTTCCCACAAGAACATTCTTTCAAAAAAAAGGAAAAAAAATTACATGCAGCTGCTATTGTTGTCAAGCCATCATCTTGTTGCTATGCTCTGTATTAAATATGAAAATACCATGGAATAGTTAATTTGCTGCATACATACTATTGGCTGAGGTGTTTCTATGGTGAATCACATTTTTGTTAACCAGTTCTCTTCACCTCCTTATAAAGAAATTTAAGGCCAAGTTTCCAGCTTACTTAATTGCTTTTTATAGGGAAAGATTAAGACAAAGATCATTAATGTAAAAAGATGATTTGACGGATGAGGAGTAGGATCAGAGACTCTACAAATGGGAACCAGCTAACAACTATAATCCACAATCTTTAAGAAGAAAATTTTATAAAAACCAGAACAGTATTAAAAATAAAACCAGAGTTTATAAGAGTACTGAACAATTTCTTGTATTCATACCTAAATCAAAGGACTTTTTTGACCACAGTTTAAAAAAAGAGTTGAGCAGGTTTTGCTGTCAGGTAGTACACACTTTTCCTTGAATTGCATCTATACAGTAAAGGTAAAAGAAATAACCTTATTTTCATTTTCACTAAATACTCCAAAGCCAGAGTGCGAAGAGGTATTTACACTACTGATTGCTACAGAAATATTTTGAGACATGTATTAATAGCTTCCTGATTGAGAACTTCCAAGAACTCTCTAAACGACAAAGGTGCTACAGAGAGTAATAAATGTCTGCCTGGTTTCCTGAAGCCGGGCTCCCCTGCTTCATGGATGGATAAAATTGATAAGGGCAAGATGAGTCCTTAGTAACAACATCCTGAGGTTACCACCAAATGCAATTACTACACTTTCTTCAGTGAAACACTGGGGAGCTTGGTGTACTTTGCATTGCCTGTCATACCATTGAGACAGACTTTTTCATTTTCTTTAAGCCATAGATTGTGAGCAAGATGGAAAAGCCCTCCTGTGACACCCTCATCATTCAAAGTTGCTACAACTTCAAATTACGTTTACTACTTTTATCTTGTCAAGCTATGTATGCCTTTTGGGCTGCAGTGAAAGTTACAACTACACTATTCCAAAAAACTTTCTTGCAGCAGGCAAATGTTTAAAAAGTTTAAAAGCAGATGTCTCAAAAGAGCTGCTGAAAAATGGTAGGATCAAAATATAAAATTACTTCCATTAACTGCTTGGCACACCGGCAGCTTCCTACTTAAAAGTACTTTCCTTACTTTTGTAAGCAGATGAGAAGGGAATAGAAAAAAGAACCACATTCACAATCACAGCTGAAACTATGGCCTACAGTGACGTGCAGCCCTAAAAGGATTCCAGGACAAAAGATCCATAGCCTGAAAGTAATCACCTAGTTATGGTCTGCCTTTGTGATAAATTTAGGACACGGAGATTGCTATTGCTGCTGCCTTGTTTTTTGATCTATGTGGACTAAGGTTGCAGAGAAGCCCTTTTGTTTTGCATGACAACCTCCCCTTCTGCTCTTTTAGTACAGATTTCATATTCCATTGAGTGCATCCTCAACAACCACAATACAGCAGCAACCAACACTTGGTTTGCTTCATTTACCAAAACTTTATTTAGGCTTCAGTTCATGTAAGCTCTGCTAAGGTGGAAGGGACCTATCTGAACACTTGGGCTACATCACACGTATGAGACCACGGAGCTCGTGACAAACCTCACAAACACGTCAGAGGTACAAAGTTACACTTTCCAAATGACAGAGCAAGAATAGATGCTACAGACACACTAACAATGTACAACCACGGTGAAAGTTCACTGAACTAGAAGGGTAAGTATCTTATTATTATTCTGGGTATCACAAGTGCTGTCTTACCAATACCACTCTTCAATGCATTTCACTAACATTTGTTTTATGATCAACGATTTTCCCCTTCAGCTGGATGAAAGATGCTTGTTGAATACAAGTTTAACTTGCAGTGTTAAATGTTCTGAGAAATTCACTATCAACAAAGCTTTCAATCACTTCCTCGATTTATTCCAGAGATAATGCTGTCCATTAGCATCTCATTAGCCAAAAGACAGTTCTTCCTGGCCTGTTGAAAACACAGGGGTCCATCATGTACTTTCCAGTAAACAGCTGCTCACACTGAGGAGATCAACAGGGGGAGAAAACCCATGGACTCCAAGCAGAGTGAATTCAGAGTAATACAATGGGGTGTGGTTCCGGGTTTTGTTATGAGCACACTGTAATGGGAACACGGACACACCACAACCCTGAAGAGGAAATCTGCTAAATAACAATCAGCAGCCAGCTTTTTAATCTAGGTTGGTTTGTTTTTTTTTTTCCAAGAAAGCATGTGTTGATCTAAAAATATTACCTAATTGCACTTTAAGATCTCCCACAAAAATCTTAGAATCAACATCACTGAAAAGTATTTAAAAAGAATATTACAGATTTCAATTTCAAGTATTTAAAGTAAGGCATATTAACAGTTTATAAATTATGACAAACTGTAAACTGTAATCCAAAATGTTATCTTCATTCCAAAAAAACTCAAATCCAAATAAACCCAGTACCTATGATGCATTACACATTATGTATGTTCTTAAAACAACCTCTGCTGATTAAGTCAAAAGAAATTATTTTAGAGAAAAGAATATTTTTACACTAGTTAACTAGAGATAACTAGCATAACTAGCATAACTGAAAACAGTTATGAAGTCCATGTTATTAAAACATCCATTTCAGGGGGAAAAAAAAAAAAAAAAAAAAGCAAAGCCAGACATTCAAGAAATGTGTTCTCCCTCAAAACAATTTACCTGTTTTGGAAATTGTTAATTTCCTGTAAAATTCTAATACTAATTTTTCCAGAAAATTCTATTTCATAGAGTTCTTCTGACAACATTATGGGCTTGGGGCACAGGAAGAGGACAGGAGTTGCCTTCAAAGCTCTTGCTGTCACGAACTGAACTGCGAGACGAGATGACGCGCAACATATTGCACACTATCTGCTGCCAACACACTTGGATAGGCAGAGATAAAGCATCACACAGGATTAGTCTGCACAAACCCCATAATCCTGTAAGGTCACCCTCAAACTAAAACTGCACAAAAAAGTAAGTGAAATGTAAGAAATGAAAATTCCTAGAATGGCATTTAGTGCATGCAACTCCCAGTTCCTTTCGGAACACCACAGGACAATGGTGTGAGAGTTTGGAAGTTCCTCCCAGGTGAAGATGTGCACTACCAGTACCGCGAGTCCTCTTCCCTCCTCCTGACCTCACACTTCACCTCATTTCAGTACCATCAACTTGAGTTAGCTACACTATGACACAGGAGTGCAAGTAAACTTCTATAGGTGCACCCTGTTCTCTGTGTTGTGATAAACATAGGGCAATTTACAAACCTGCTTCCGAACTGTGAGCCAACTTGTGCATCTTCTTGCAGAACACTGGGCTTCTGAAACCACACTTGCAGGACCAGAAGCATTTTTCTATCTGTATAGCTGCCACATTACCTGAACAACTGCTAAATCTTCCCTCAAGCCAGCAGCCACAACTAGCCAGAGCTAAAGGCCTTCACCATATGCAGAGAATTATTTGCATGCACTGACCACTGTCACTTAGAAGCAAAGCCTGAGCTATTAATAATTCTTACAGTCAAGCCTCTAGTGATCCATCCAAAACATCAGACCTAAAGCCTGAGCTATTAATAATTCTTTCTTACAGTCAAGCCTCTAGTGATCCAAAACATCAGACCACAAATATATTTCAAGTCTTTTGGAAACAGACAGAAAGAACTCAAAAAATGATTAAACCAGAAATTTATCCAACAGTGAGGTACCCAATATTGGTCAAGAACTGAAGCAAAAGCATTACAAGTGAACTCTAACTACAAGCACCTAACTTCTCAACATTGCTGAAAGTTTTCTCGGTATTGTGGTAAGTTACACAGCCTGAATACCAGCAGAATTAGGCATCACAGACTGGTGTCCCAGATGTGTTGAAAAACATCTTTTAAGAAGCTCAAGTCCAGGCACAACTTCCAAGACACAAGCTCTCCTCAATCGATACAGGGACAAAATCTCTTACAGCAAAGTAAAATGTCTTCAACAGTGCTATTTCACTGCTGCTGCCACTGGCAAGTGGTTTTCATTTTCTTCCACTTGATTTCTCTTCATCAAGCTCTGTCTTTGACCTTCACCTGTTTGGACTTTCTCTGGAACTTAGCTGAGTGTATGGGAAGCAAATTCAACTCACAGTAATGCATTAAAAACCATAAGATGACTAGAACTAAGGGTCATAAGCAATGAAGAAAAGGCATACTACCAACTCCCAAGTGAGTTCTCTGAGGTGCAAGCCCTTTTTGCTGCAGCAATGAACACTGCCAGTCTACAGCTT